TGAGAAAGTCGACTGTCCAATCACAGGACTTTTAAAGAGAATGATCAGATCAGAATTTACAGAAGGAGAGATGTTCTGGGCATTTGCTCTGATCTTAACTGGATGAAGCCTCTTAAAGGAGGAGGAGCCACATCCCAGAATAAAAAATCATACTGAACAGGTTGTATCTGTTCAATATGTTACAAGAATGATTAGTTAATGATTTTATATCCCAAACTTTGAGGACTCGCTTAAAGAGTCTCAATTGATTTTTTTTCAGTGTTTCCTGCCTGTGAGCAACAGATTAAGCAATAATGTAAGTGAGAAAAATCATGGCATGAAGAAAAGACTTTGATTCGTGAGTGTTTAGGGAGTTTTGAATGTCTGAAGTTTACAGTATTTCATTTCATAACTTTACTTCGATGGTTAATTTGTTTATCAGAGGAACACAGGCTTAAATATTTCACTTCTTGTACATTGTTAATAATTTGTCCTTGAACATTAAGTTGTGGAGGACAGATTTGTTTCTTGTTAAAGTTCATTGTAACACATTTTTTAGTGTTTAGAGTGAGGCATGAAAATCGGAGACATTTGGTTTAGCTCTATAAACTGCTAGTTTATAGACTGCTAGATGGTCAACAAATGAAGGGAGAATCAGTGTGCAGAATTCACCCCCCCCACATCAGCATCAAACACATGGAGGAGTCCAGGTGAGTCTTACCTGCTGACACAGGTGCACTGTGCATGCAGAATCATTACTATCCTATTAATGTGTATTCATCTGGACCTGTTGGATAAATGCTGGGTGGAAATCTGTGTGTAAAGTTGCTCTGCGCCCTGATTGATGTAATGATGTTTATGCTTTATGTGGATTGAACAATGTGATGCTGTGAAGGAATTTCAACTGACAATGCTTGACAATTTTGATTTTATTTATTTGTTTATTTATTTTAACTGATTGCAGTGTTATTTGGTGTGTTTTAAATGTCATGGATCACTGAAAAAAATAAATAAAAAACTTGAATGTACTGAAATTGTTTTGTAAACTCCCATAAATGCCTTTTTAAATAAAGTTGAAAACAAATGGTTTTGTCAGTAAAATTAAGGTAATGAAACCCAGAAATGAATCTGCTCATGAAACAAAAGCATCAAACCTGGAAAAAATAATTTTCTAATGCAGCTGTACATGGGTCAATGAAATGAGACACAGTGAGTCATAGAAACGAGAAATGAATGGAGTGGTAAATCTGTAAATGAAAACTTTCCAAACATGAATGAAATAAGAGGATTACCACAGGACAAAAGCTCTGCCACTTCCTCTGCTCATTAATGTTGGAAACTGAAACTGAAACTGCACAAAAAATGTCTGAACTAAACATGTTTAAACCAGGAATCACAAGTGCAAATAGGTCATCAAAGGTTTCAGATGGAATGAGAATTTGAAGAGTTTATTCATGTGAAAACAAAATGATGCACAGTGATGTACAGTGTGGAATCCTCAAATCATCAAAGTTATATTCAAAGTTTCAGATATGGCTGACACTGATTCAAATGAGGAGAAATCTATTTGGTTTTACTGGTCTCTCCATGCAGACTTAAACCCAGAGATATTTGGGACATTTCTATGAGAACCTTGTGTCATCCACAAACAAAGTCTGAACATGCTGAGGATTCCTGATGGTTTAATATTTGGGTCGAAACATGGATTCTAAACATTCTGTGACTCTGTGGTCTCTTTTGTGCTGATCTGCTCTAAATGTAGACCAAAATTAAAAAGAAAGTAAGTAAACTTGCATTTCAACACAAAGCTCCATCTGACTGGAACCATCTCCAAATTTCTCTTCACTCTCTGACTTCTTTCCCGTTCCTCAGAAACACCTTAAGAATGTTTGCAACTGTTTCTAATCTTTATTCTTGGGACAGTGGGGAAGGGTGGGATAACTTTGAGAGCCCTGAATGTGTCTTTTTATGTTAACATCACATATGAACAGTTCTATAAACAACAGAACAGAACAAGTTTACCAAACTCTCCATCTCACTCCAAATCACTAAATCCATTCAATTCTTCATACTCGGTGTCACTGAACAACTTGGCCTCGACCTCTGGAGGTAAACAGAGCACCGCTTCCTCTTCTGTGTCGCTGTCGTCAGACTCAGCATCAGTTCCAGTTAGAATTATTTGGTCTTTCTGAATCCCGACAGGATGGTTTCAGTGTCACTGAAGTCCAGGCTTTGTCCATCCATCCACTGACTTTAGGAAAGTTGCATGATGCATCCTCCCGGTGTCACAAGTTTCTCTCTCTTACTCCAAACTTTCTTTCTGCTGCTCTACATTTTTGGCTGCAGATTTCACGACTTGCACCAAAACAGAGGCTCTTTCTGCAGGAGACATGTGCAGTAGAGTGAAGTGACAGTGGTACAGGAGGAACAGGAGCAGCAGATACTCACACACAAGACTAGAACCACTTGTCAGTGTGAACATTTGATTATATAAGTCGCACCGAAGTATAAGTCACAGGAAACACCCAAACCATGAAAAAAAAGTGTGACTTATAGTTCAAAAAATACAGTACTTGGTTTAACGGGATAGTACCTGTGGTCAGCATTTATCACAGTTTTACATCAGTTCAGTGACAAAAGTTGAAAAGATTCCTCCATGTCATAAATATGAAAAAAATAACAACAAATGCAGGGACAATTGAACTGTTGTCTATCTTACACAGTAGTTTTTATTGTACACAAGTCTGGACCCTTGTTTACATTATGGCTGTTATTTTGTGTTTATTATATATTGCTGTATATATTTACTTGTACATATAATTGTATAATTTGACATCAGTCTCTTGCTATTTTTCATTTTTGCTACTTATTTTGAATATATTTTTTCCATTCATGTTTTTGCTCTTTGTTCATTATATTACAATGTGATGTCTGAGCACTTCTTTCCTCGGTGTAAAAGTCTTAAAAGTCTCTGCGGTTCTTCCAGGATGTCTGCGTCCGTGAGAGGGATAAAAATATAATAAAAAATATTTAGACACCCGTGCTTATGTTCATTATTATTCTTGTTATTGTGCCTTTATAATAGTGTCTTAAAGTTTCTGTAGTTATATCGTTCAAAACTGTATTGCTTATTTGTATTTTTCAGGCTGAAGAAGAAAAGACTGAACAACAACCTGAGGGAACTTTTCCATAGACCGTGTACAGTTCTATAAACAACATTTCCTCTAAACTTTGAAATACTCAAGCTTTTTTAATCCAAAAGAATAATACAGTAAATGTTCCTTGAGGGAAAGTTAACAGTAATGCCTGTTATTGTCCAGCAGAGGGAGCCATCTGTCCACCACATCCTGGAGGAAAGAGGAAAGTTGTTTTTGTTTTTTTTTTGCTTTCAGTATACAGTTGAAATGAGCAAATGAGCCATGTGGTTTTAAGTTTAGTGTCTGTAAAACATAAACAAATGTGTCAAAGCTGCATTAAGCACATTATAATATCAAACGGGCTGATGTGGCTCTATAGGGCTTATGGTTTATATGTTGTAAAGTTGTTGTAAACTGGAAGTCAGTTTGAAAAATAAGTTCAGCCTTTCACTCACCTTTTCACTAGCTCAAAATTAAAATAGTAAACTATGAACATGAACAAATCACTTTGAACATGTGTGGGGTCTCAATTTAATCATCAAATAAATAACAATGTGTCCTTAGGAGAGGTCAATATTAATATCAAAACATGTTCAAACAAATAGATCAGAAATATTATTCAACCTCCAAACAGACCCACAGCCCGTCACACTGGAGCTCAGCACACACAGGGGAGATGAGAGGAGCAGGGCGTGGGTGGTTGGCCAAAAAAAAAAAACCTTAGAAAGATTCAAATTAGAGATTGATTATAACTGCGACTTCTGTCAAAGCAAAACTGAAACAATCATTTACCTGTTCTACCACTGTACAAACAGCAGAAACATCTGGACCCACAGCAGCTCATCCAGACCAAAACCAGACCAAAACCAGACCAAAACCAGACATGATCAGCCTCCAAGAAAGTGACGTCCTGTTCTTTTTCAATTCCCTCCATTCCTACAGATCTCTCTTTCCTCTTTCAGACTCTGATCATGCTGCCAAATATCATATACACAAAACAAAACAGACTCAAAATAAACCAAATGCTCACCATTATAATAAAGAAATACAATAATATTTCCAAACAATAAAAACAAATACTTAAAACAAATACTTCACTCTCCCCTACATTTTATATTACTTTTGGTCTTGTCTTGTTTTTTTCTCTCTCTCTTGTGTATAAGAGTGTATAAACTTCTTTACATTGTTTAAATATTAAGATAAAAATGCATATTCATAAATACATCCAAATAAACCAAAGTGCCTTTGATTGCAGACTCGTTTGACTCTGGCGCCCTCTGGTGTGCATTCTGACATCAGTAAGAGAAGAGAAAAGCTTGTTACATTTAAATGTGGAGATAAATATGAACTTTAAAAGGCTCATACTTTATTTTATGATCTATGTTATAATGTAGTTTCCTCATCACAAACAGATCTGGACTGTGTTTTGTTTCATTCACATGTTTAACACACAAACAGGCTGTGGTCATCTCTCTAACGCAAAATACAAGTGATCCACTGTGTTTTTAAACTCCATACATCTTTACTAGAATCACAGCATTTGGAGCTTTGGAGATGTAAACAGATTAATAATAAAGAGTTATTTAAACATGTGTGAATGAAACAAAACACAACTCCAGGTCTGTTTGTGAGGAGGGAACAACATTAATGTGAAGAGAACATTTATGGGTCGTTCTTTGAACCTTAAAGTGAAATAATTATCGCTATGTTTACAGTGGAAGCAAGTGGAATTACAATGATTTAGTTTTCCAACAAAATGCTGCAGTTAAATAAATAATAATAATATTTGGACCTGCTCCTCCACAGAAACTCCTCCTCTCCCATCTTTGTTGCTGCTGCTGTTTTAGCCCCGCCCTCTACTCCTGTTTTGGCCCCGCCCTCTTCTCCTGTCAGGAGCTAGCGACTACAGCTAAACAAACCTGCCCCAAACTCCTCTCCAGACGCTTTCAAACCCCCTCTCCCCGTTTTTATCCAAAGATCCAGCCCCGCGGACCAGCCCGTGTCCTCTCCCCGACGAAGATGGTCGTTCTGACGGATAACCATGAAGATGAGGACTATATGTGAGTCAATGTTTACGGATCCAAAATATTAGCATTTCAGTTAGCCGCAGGGAGCTAGCTCTGGTTTAAAGCGACTTAAAGCGACATGAATGCAACGATCGTCAGCAAGAATTCACCACAAATCATTGTTTTAACGCTACAGGGTGTGTCCGTTTACTGAGTTGTAAATTGGAACAGTGTTTTGGAGAAGTGGTCCCAGTAAAGACTTGACAGGACTCATAAGGATAAGGATAAGGACCAGGCTGCAGATGACTGGAGGACACAGGGCTGGACCATTTGACCATTCCGACTTAATTTGTGATTTATAGTTTTGTTTTAAGTTGGAATCTGCATGGAAAGTGCATCCTGCCATGAGCTTTAATATTTGATTAGTCTGAAGTGAACTGCTAAACTAAATACAAGAATCCCTCACAGTATCAGCTGATGTTTTACATTGGATATTTTGTTTGTAAAAGACTTAAATAATGACTATCTTTGGGATTTGCTAAATGCGAACATTGACATAGCGTTTTCTATTGCAGATATCAGATGACATCACATTATTCTATAGGCCAATATTATTCATTACAGATGGGGGGCAAGTTAAATTAATGTTGTTAAAACCCAGACTTAATAATAAATAATGTTAGACTCATATTAGACCAGCTGGACTATAATGAATATACAGGAGGGGACAGTTTTGTTTTATTGTAGATTTCTGTAAGGCATTTCACACGGTCAATCACCAATTTATGAAAAAAACTCTGGAAACATTTGGCTTTGGAAAGTGTTTTATTGCTGCAGTTCAAACACTATACAAAGACTGTAATAGCTCTGTCCAACTGTTATATGGAACATCCCCCAGGACCGATATTGAACCAGGAATAAAGCAAGGCTTTCCTGTCAGTCCTTATCTGTTTTTACTTATTTACTTATGATGGCTACTCATATCAAAAGGTCTGAATTTTGGGGGATCTCGACCTTTGACAGAGAATTTAAAATCTCACAGTCGACAGACGATACAGCTGTATCAGAGATTTCTCAGAAGTTCCCGGGTTATGTGTAAATTGAGGTAAATCTGTCTTGTTGCCACTTAAAAACTGTGATAGTTCTGAAATCTGTGGTGTCCCTGTAAAAAGAACCTTGACTTACCTTGAGGTTACCGTCAGTCATAATCAAACAAACTGCTGCAATGTCTACTTCATCCCTATAATTAATCAAGTTAAAACAAGGTTCAATATGTGGCTGGTGTGAGATTTGTCGATATGGCAGAATTCTTTTGGCAGAGGGTGAGGGAATCTCAAGGTCGATTTCTCTAGCCCTGAATATGCCCAGGAATATATGTAAGAAATTAGATAAATTACTCTTCTCTAAGGCCTAAAAGGGATATAGAGGTTTGGAAGCACTGAGTTTTGTTGTAATACAGTGAGTTGTGGGGTACAGTCAGTAATAGACACAAACATGTTCAACATTTGTGGATTTACCTTTGGGATATTTCATGGTAATGTACAATGTAATCAATAGGAAAACCCACCTATTTCCCCCCATCTCAGAGTATGATATCATCACATTTTAGAACTTGAAAACTGCCATTTGGAGTGCGATATATTCTGCAACCCTAGTAGGACAGCGCTCAGGCTTGGGCTAAAAATGACACCAGCTGATATACACACACATAAGAGGAGCGTATCCCACTGACCTACTTTTGTATCTGCTGTTGCTGTTGTGTGGCTCTGAGGCTGCAGTCACGTTTCATAGAAAATGGAAGGAGCTTTATGAAAATTTCATAAGGGACAATGAAGCATGGCAGATGTGCGATCAGTGGTAGAGATTGACTATTATGAGTTTTATTTTTATGGCTAGTGCTGATGTGCATTTCTAACCTTGATTACTACAGAGCGCTGCACTACATTTAATTACAATAGCAAGCAAAAAGCTACAGTAGTAACGTCGTACTATTGCGATGATTTTAAGATCCCTGCAGCCATGTTTCACTGTAAACCTGTTCTGTGTGTGTGTGTCTCTCAGTGTGTGTTCTAAAGGGCAGCTGTAGGTCTTTCACTATAACACACTGTAAAGTATGTTATATTCACGATAAAAAATGATATTGAATGCCATTGTCCCAGACACAGAATCAGATACTAATTAATACTAACATATGTCCCATTTATCTTGAGCTGCATCAGATCAAGTAGAAGAGCACATAGACTAGTATATGCCCATGGACCTATATGGAACCTACTGGAACACTGAGGGATATAACCACTATAGATATAAGGTCACGAGCAGATACGGAAGAAAGTACTATGGTTTAATATTGAAAACCACATTCTATTGTCTAAATAAAGGGTGTTTTTTATTATCGTCATGGTATCAGAATCAGGATTGTTTATCAAGTCTTTTCCACAGTACTGAAAAATCCAGTATGAACACACTTGCTGCATTCACTGTATTGTGCATTATGTATTGTGTTGTTTCAGCCTGGTGCCTGAGGAGCGTAAGTGCGTCTCCCTGCCCTGCTCTCCAGCCAAACGTGTGTCTCCCAAAAAGAAACAGTTCTACATCAGCCAAGCCACCCGCAACTCAGACCTCATCCAACGCGCCAAGGGCAAGAAGAGCCAGCGGCGGCAGGAGAACAGTGAGCTGGGCGGGGGTTGGGCAGGGTCGGGCCTGGTGCAGTGGTTCAAGTCTAACCTGGTTCTTGTGGTTCTTGTGCTGCTTGTTTCAGCACGCTTCCTGGCTAACCTCCTGGAGAAAGAGGAGTGCTGTTTGGATGATCTGGAGCTGGGCAGTCATCCAGCCATCCCCACCATCTTCACCAAGGCCTGCATCAATGGGAACTATGCGGAGGTCAGGCAGCGGGGGCGCACACGAGCTGGGGTCACTGCTGTGTGTGTGTGATTACTGGGGCTGTGACAGTGCACTTTGCAGTAATTAGGTTTTTGTGTTTGGTTTTATGCAGATCAATACTAAAGCTTCTATCCACTGTAGATACTAATGTTACCACTTACTCTACTGATGCTTTGCAGCTGATGTCATCAGCATTCTGTGATGGTAACTGTAAGCACTGCTCTGTCTCTAGACTCTAGACTTTAATCTGAACTGATTTAGATGGAACAATAACGTATGATATGATCTGATTTTGTGCTGTTAAACCATAGAACTATAATAAAATCCATGTGTTAAAAAAAGTCCCTCTCAAATAACATTACAGTCACGGGCTACAGGACCATGCACGCTTGTTTTGATCACAGGCTCCTACAGATGTGCTGTTTAAATCCATTTTGTATTTTTTCTTGAATTTAAAGACTTAAAATGGTTTGGTCGTGTGCATTGTCGTATCATGGTAACTGATTAACCTTGTGCAGTAAACCCCCGGTATGATGTCACTGCAAAGTATCAACAGACCAATAATATTTAATACAGATGAGGGCAGCTAATGTTGTTGAAATGCTGATTTGTTATACAGAGGGTTCTTGGGTTTAGTCACTTATAAACTGTTAGACTTTTCATGGCAAATACATAAGTACATTATAATGAAAATGAGTATGATGTCATCACATTCTAGAATCTGAAAAGCACCAGCAGGTTTTAGCTCTCTAAAGTCACTAAAGATGAGATGCACTTTAACATTACACATTAGTGCACTTTATTGCCACTTTGCTACTATGACCTAAAGTGTGCTGGCTCACTAGCACCAAGTCTCCACCTTCAGCTACTCTGTTTTTCACCCAGTTTAAACTGCATCACTCTTTAATTGAGCCAGCAGGTCCTTGCACATTCAGCTGGTGTTATTTGCTTGTACTAATCTGGACAGTGTGACCTTTATATGTTTAATTCAAATATTTATTTATTTATTTATTTATGTCAGGCTATAGAAAATGACAAATGTGTTCAAAAGTTCTATCAGTTTAAAATGTTGATTTAAATAATGATAATCCTGTATTACACAAACAGGGTTCTTGTGGACTTTTAGCCTTGTTACTTCATCAAAAACATATAATACCTGGAGATGTGTTTTGCTACTGAATTATATCTATAATGAGTCATAATTCAACCTTCGGCAGCTTTTTTCATTCATCACTAGAAGAAAGAATAAATTCCCACAATAAATACAGACCATCTCTAAAAATATTTAGTACAGTTATTTCACTTTTTTCTTTACTAAATACCTATAATTAATATAAAATACCTACATACATGCCTGCATAGAGTCAGAGTGAGTGAGGTTGTGAGGCTGTCTCCTGAGGTGGGTCTTCTGTTCCTCTGTGTGCAGCGCTGGAGCGACTTCATGAAGTGTTCTGGAGAGGAGCAGGAGCAGTTGCTGGAGCTTCTGGAGCAAGAGCAGGCCCAGAGGAGAGGAGGAAGACTGCTCCGGGACCACAGGAACGGTGAGCTTTGCTGTGCCCTCTGCTGTGAGTGAGCACTTCTGTCCCCTCTGTGCTGTGAGTGAGCTCTGCTGCCCCCTCTTTGGTGTAAGTGAGATCTGATGGTGTTTCTGACCCCACAGTGAACCCTCATGACTGCTTTCAGAGGATTGACCGCAGGCTCCGAATCACACTCAGGAAGAGGCAGGTCCCTATTGTAAGTCTCACTTCTGTGTCCACGTCACACCTCGAAACTGGTTGTTCACTAGATGTTTACCAGAAGAACCACGTCTCACTGAGTGTGTTAGCCGTTAGCTCAGCTGCTGCTTTTACATGTTAATTATGATCTAAAACACCAAAAGGTTTACACACTCACCTATGACTTTAAGCTTATCGCCAGACAATCTGGAACACTGGCAGGAGACTCAGTGCTGCGCTGCGCTGCATCCGGCGTAAATGGGTTAAACAAGGCTCTGACCTGAATGTGATTAAGTATCACACTGAGTATTATTACCAGACTGGACTTTTTAAAATGGAATTATAAAAAACCTTGACCAAACCACAAACTTGACCAATCTGTGTCCCCAGATGTAAGGTAGTCATGGTCAAATATAACAACTGTTAAACAAATGGATTGTTCATTGCAAAAAATGGACATTGTTGTTTGGGTTGTCAAGGTGATTATCCAATCAGAAATCAGAAGAGTCTCTCATTTATGTTGCCAGTTTCAACACTAAAATCCAGTTGGTTTAACCCTAAAATGCCTCTCTGATATGAACAGTCTCTCCCTAAACTCCAGCACCTGCACCAGTCATGAGTCAGTGCTAGTGCAGCCTCTGCAGCTCAGGGAGGGAATTCTGGAGGTTCTGAGCTTCACATGAACCATGGTCTGTCCAAAAACTGAGAATGAGGAAAACCTGGACATGTCTCTTTCTACAGGTGAAGCCTCTAGAGACACAGGATCAGTTGTGATTGTAGTAACATTTTTAAAAGTGTCAGAACTCAGGATACACACAGTTCTTGAGACTAAAGAGTGTTAAATGTCATGTAATTCAAAATAAGGTGCCATATGATTTTACTTTCACATCATCATTGTGACACTTTTGCCTTGTGTGTGTTTCAGGGAACAGTGGAGGTGCTGGAGGATAGTTTGCTGAACTTCTTCAACGCTCAGCCAACCTCAATCTATACCACCAGCCTCTCCAGCAGGTACACCCCACCCTCCATATACTGATTACACCAGCAGCAGGTAGACCTTGTAAAGTTTTATGTTGTCAGTGACATCCTCTCACTGTCCACTGCTTATTTTGAAGTATTTATTAATTTTCATACAACTAGAAAAGCCCCAGAGACACAACAGGAAATAGAGAGCCTAACAGTTGCTGTGGTTACTTACACACTCTAAATCTCATTATCATCAGATTCTTTTAAGCTTTAAGACTGTTAAAATGGCATGTAAACCACAAAACAATCCCCATTTTTGTCTGATCATGGTCCCTCTGATCCCATTGGTCCAAATGGGATAATATTTGTGACTGTGCATGTGACCATATTCTGTGAGTGAGCCGGGAGCCGTTGTGCACACAGCCAGCTGTAGTGTTCCTTCCTGAATCGTTTTTACTTCTCCAAATAATGATACACCACAGTCATATTAGACTGGCACATGAGTGCTCAAATAAAAACTTTATTTCAGATTAGATTATGTTAATGTTAGTGGGAAAGTGCACAGTAATGTAGTGGAAGTGTAGCAAGGCTGGCGCCATCCTAGTGCCTCTGCTTAGTTTCATTTCTCTCCAGTGACTAGGTCAGGAATCAGAATTCAGTAGACTGTTTACAAGAACCCCAGAAGTTGTAGACCGAGCACCGGCCAATCAGCTCTGAGCTGTGAAGTCATGACGTCAAACTCATGACACTTATCTGTGTTCCTTTTGTGGAACAGCACAACAGTAAACAAAGTGTCGAGATGGATGTAGACAAAGACAGACATTCTGTGTTGGCGACGATTCACCAGATCAGAAAGACCGTGATAAAATTCAGGAAGGAAATCCTGTAGGAAGAAGGGGAATTCTTCCTACGGGATTTGGTGCATTACATACGTCATGACCAAATAGCAGCGATTGGTTAAATAAAAAAAGCACCCACCTACCATCGAGTGAATGAATCCTAATGCTGCGAGGTCACACGGTTTCCACCAAGTGAAACCAGTTGATGCATCAGGGGAGTGGAAGTGCTGAATAAGAACCAATGTTCTAATGTGTGCGTGTGCATATGTGCGTGTGTGTGTATGTATGTGTGTGTATGTGTGTGTGTGCGCGTGTGTGTGCTGAATAAGAGCCAATGTTCTAAAGTGTATTTTATCTCTGTGTGTAGTTTTGAGCGTCTGCTGCTCCACGCTGTGTGCCAGTACATGGACCTGGTCTCTCTCAGTAAGTCCCTCCACACATGCGCACACACACACACACACACACACCAGCAATGGAACACATCAGACATGTTTTTTTTTTCATCTCTTCTCTTTTTGCAAATGTGTGATGTTATAAAGTAACTGATTAAAACAACTTTTCTTTAAAATAAAGTAAAAAAATAATATTTCAGAATATTGTCATCAAACTTAAATCCCCTATGGCAAATCAGTGAAAATCCTTTCACTTGTAATGGTCTTTACAGGCTGTTGTACTATTGTTATACTGAGAGACTATTGTAGCCACAGTGGCCCTGGGGCAAGCCGACTGAAGCAAAGCAACACTCACGCACACACAACATTCATACTAGGCAAGGAAAGTGAAATGTCACAATGACAGAACTTGGTGTGAGCCTCTGTCATCCATCTTTACACAAATGTTGTTGTCTTTTTTATCATTCATAAGTCTCACATTTTAGAGTAGTCCTGCATATTTAGCCCATCTCCCGCTTGTGGTCAGTGGTATTACAGCTCCTCCATGTTTTAAAGTCATGTGTTCACCAGACTCATTTCAGTCACCTTCACAATCTCATCGTTTATTGTGTTAGCTTTTTGTCAGCCCACCAACAGAGGGCAAACTTACATAACCTGTAATCCTGTAGTAGAAGTTTAAGAGATTCAGAAATGCTGACAAACAGATAATGTAGCACTTTTTTCAACAAACAACCTCATTACAGCACAGTCACTTGTAACATGTGATGTGTGTTTAACCTTTTCAGGCACAGACTCCAACGGCTCACGTCAGACTGAAGTGGTGAACAAACAGAGCCAGTTCCTCCCCCCGTCACTGCTGCTGTCGGCCTACCTGGAGAGGATGAGCAGAGACCAGCCCCTGACCCCCCTGTGACCCTCCCCTCCCTCCCCTCCCTACTGCAGTCTGGATCTAGGGCACAGAATTACAGCACATTTAAAAAAATTATTCTGTCATGGGCTGTAGTTGACCGTCACATAGATTTCTCTCAAATGTTAAAGGTATAGTATGTGACTTTTTTAATGGGGGATGCTTCATAGAGATGTTATGTTGTAAGGTTCCACAGTATGGCATTATTATATCTATCTAGAGGTGGACCAAAATGCATATTTTATCTCTATTGAGACGAGCAGGTGGAGGACCCCCTCATCCCCATCCACACACATGTACACACACACACACACACCTGAAAGGTTACATAATGTACCTTTAGGCTCCTGGATCTTCTGAAAATGTGCACTGTAAATTTGTAAATTTGAATCTGCAAACATACATTTCAAATGCAATTGCAATAGAAAACACAAAAAACACTATCTGATTTGAATTGAAATCCAAATTTAAGTGATTGAACAAATCTCCTGTGTGAATGCGTGGGATTCATGTGGTAGATTCTTGTATCAGCAGTGTTGCTCAGCCCTGCTGCTCTGCGCTGGGGTTCTGTCATGATCAGCACCTGCAGTGTGTGAGTAAATGGACGTGCACATTAGATGAGTGAGTCAGGGAGGAGGAGTGGAGTTTAAAGCAGCAGTGTTCCGCAGTGTTGCTTTAACTCATCCACAGTCTGTTTACAAGCACAGCTCACAGCCATAAACAAGGTCAGATTATATAAGAAATGTCTATCGGAGTCCTTTTAAAGATGCTAAAACACAATATGACACGTTCATATTACAGCGAGCGACTGTATAAAGAGTTCAACGTTACATTGTATGACATGTACAGTGAGTCAGGCGCTTCAGATTCTGCCTTCAGATCTCTACAAAGGTAAATACTTTATGTCATAGTGAAAACTATACTAAAATATATTTATTTAGAATGGTTTTTCAGGTGAGCTGTCCCACACGTGTGCTGGCCTGATCAGTCTCACCGCTTTGTCATTGTACAAAGTCAGTCTTGTATTGCTCCGTAGAGGTTAAAGTGGAACTAAACACTAAGTCCACAGTTTTTGTTATAAACTGTGTAAATGGTGTTTGATAGTAACAGACCCTGCCCTTCCTCCCCCCTCACTCTCCCCTTTAGTCCTCCAGGCCCCGCCCCTCCTCCCTTTAGTCCTCTAGGCCACACCCCTCCTCCCTTTAGTCCTCCAGACCCTGCCCCTCCTCCCTTTAGTCCTCCAGGCCACACCCCTCCTCCCTTTAGTCCTGCAGGTTTAGCAGCTCTATTTGAAAGGAGCTTGTGGGTGTTTACTGCCACTTTAATCATTCCACGAGGTTATCTTGTGTAGAGAGCTTTATTTGTGATTCAGAATAATAACAGAAAAAAGATTGGAGATTCTTTAATGGAACTGACATGAAAAGCCTGAAAAGAACCTTTGACTTACTTGACATTCTCTCTTGTTTTAGCCTGCCCACCTCAAGGTTTTGAAAGTTGTATTCAGTCATATAAATGTTATCTGCCATAGAGGAAACGAAGAATTGTGTTGATTAAAAAATATTTCGATTTTGAAAACGAATGTCTCCGCTACAGAACCGCCTGACACTGACACGATAACGCTGTATGAAACGGTGGGCATGGCAACCGCTCCACATTATTTTTATTACTGTACTCGCTTCATTTGATTTACTCTTAGTTTCTCTGTCCCACCTTCAAATAGCATTCAAACCGCGCACTACCAGACTGACGGAGAAAGCAGACCAGGCAACACAGCTGTGGACAGACTTACAATAATCTGTTGTATTTCATGTAGATTTTTAATGCATTTTAGTATTAACTTTGTATTTGCATTTGTACTTTTACTTAGTCTGAGTCTGTCACCCCTTTTAATACTTGTACTTCAAAGATTAAGGAGGAAAAAGTTCATATTTAAACTCACTTCAAAATCAGTAAAACTTAAATTGTTTCATATCAACAGTTGTAGAAATGATAAAGCAGTACTGCATTTTTAAAGTAGTAGTAGTAGTAGTTGTAGTAGTAGGCAAGAGCACATCCACATAGGTGAGTGTTAGTAACAAGGAGAGCCCCTCGATAACCGACCTGTCCATAAAAGCCAATTGTAAATATGACTGCGTTTTATACTTGTACTGCTTTATACCAATGAAAGCACTTGAATTCTAATATCGAATGTGAACTTACACGATTTTTACGATCATGAGATGATTTTGAAGGTGCTATTGGTGACAAACTGTATCACTGCCTCACAGGAGTCACAGGAACTACAGTGACGAAAGAGTCATGGAACTACTCTGATAGGAAAAGGGACACACGCCGAGCGATTGTATTCAAAGGCCTGTGGAAGGGCCTCTGGTTTAATTTCATGTACAGTCCGACATTTACTGCCAACTTTATCTGTGTACTGTGTTAAATACAAAGCCATAATCTGACGGTTGGTACTTGTGTTTGAAATGGTCTGATTTTAAAGGAGCAGTGTAGAAAACCACTGGGTCTGAAATTAAGTAACCATTTGTAAGATTGAATATTTTTATATTCCATAAAAAATAATTTGTCTGTCCCCAGATATCAGGTAAACGCCAAATCAGATAATTTTTATTGATTTATTCTGAAAGAGAGAGTATTATGTAAAATGATGTAACCTAACCATGTTTAAGTAATTTAGCAATCTCTCCTGAGTCCTATTCAAACCCTCCTTGCAGTTAGCTCTAAGATTTCGTGCAAGAAAGGCTCAAAGGCTGTTTTAAAAAAATACAGTTTTGGCTCACCCGAAACATGTGGATGAAAGGCCAAAACAAATAAAAACACCACCTAAGTTTTGGGCGATTATAGCATTTTCAAAACAGTAAAGGGGACATGGTGACCTAAAAATGTGATGTTTTTACCCACAGAAGTCAAACAATCACTCTTTAGAATAAGAAGAAATGTATTATGCTAACTGCTTCAAACCCCCACCCCCTTTTGGCAATACACCTGCAGAACAGTTGAATAAAGATCCACACTGCTCCTTTAAACATCTGTGTAGTAAAACGATTTAAGCACAATCTGTCCTCACATAGACTTTGAGTAAGAGGCTCTTAAAGGGCCGCTGTACATATTTGACTGGAACAGAGCACTTGCCTTATCTGCGCTCTTCTGCTTGTGTCTCTATCTGTGGACTTTTCTCCTCTTTGCGTTTGTAGATTCATATGTTCTTTATTTGTACCAAAGGATTGTGTTATGTCATCTCTCAGGTCCGCACGGTTGTATTTAGTTGAATCATCTCTGACCAGTGCCAATGTCCGCTGGCCTGTGCAGTCCGAGCTTTACTCCAAACATGGATGCATCCTCACAGCATGTTGTGTATATAAGACTGGTGTGGCTTATTTATAATGATGGACCTCTGCAGCCATTAAAGCTTTTTAAGAGCACGTGTGTATGTGCTGGTGTGTTTTACTGTCTGTCACTGATCTACGTGCTAATGAACAACAACCATTTCAAAACAAAAAAAAGATGATATACTAGTGCATGTCTTATTTTTATATTGTGTTATATAACACTTTTAGGTACTCAACAGTAGGAGAAAGAAGTTCTAACACTTAAATACTCTAAAGGTACAAACAAGAAGCTGACAGTCATGATTAGTGTCACTTCACCATCAAGAACAATGTAGGGTGTTGTCTGTAGGTGAGATCACTCTTTCTCATACATTAAATCTGTTCATAATAAAAGCTCAGATTCAAGCAGGGCCCAAAGAACACTGAAGTAACATTAAGTTCACCATAAAAACATAGGAACAAAAAGAACACTGAAGTTACATGAAGTTCACCATAAAAACATAGGAACAAAAAGAACACTGAAGTTACATGAAGTTATTAGTTAGTTACTATTAAAAAAAACCCACACAATTCACTGTTTAAAAACAAAGTTATTCTAAAATGTGGATCATGTGTTTGTATTGGTTTAACACAGGGGCCTCCAAACCTTTCTCATCCAAGAGTCCTGCAGATGAAAACAGATGAGAGGAGGGACGATCAAGGGCCTCAGTACAGTGAGTGAGGGCCAGACCTTTAGTCGTATATTTGATATTGACATAAAAATGTAGATGGCCTGAAGGCCAAGAAAAATCTGAAAATGTGTTTTTGGCCAAATGACAGAACAATAAACACGACTGTGTGTGCCCTGAGGGGGCAGCGACTGGGCACAAACACTTCAAATGTATTGGTGGCCAGAAAAGAGGGATGAACATTATTACATTAGTAGAACGCGGGTAAAATATGCGCGTTGTGTTGGCACTGACGCGCGTCTTGATGTGCAAAACTCATGTAAAATACGCGCGTTGTTCTAGAACATCATTGCGGCGTAAAACGCGCAGCATTTTGGTGAATCTGACAAACGGCATATTTTGCGGGCAAATTTATATCCCGCACACCGTCTTACTTGCAAATTGTGAGATTTATGAAGATAAACTGTACAATGTTTCGCCACTAGGCCTTCATCAGGCAAACAAAGACGGTGTGCGGGATTTTCCTCTATGTTCTTGGGCTGCTCCCTCTCCTCCAACGCACACGTCTCTAGTAACTGTTGTGCGAAGTTCTCGTTCTTTTACATCGTGGGCAAATAGTGCCAGTGGAGCCAGGCCGTAAAAACTGCAGCGTTTGGGGCCTGGTTCCACTGCACGCGTATTTACGCTTGCGTAGGTCGTATTTTGACCGACGCGCTGCAACGTTTGGACGCGTAAGTTTTAGAATGCATGAACAGTGAATGAGGGCGGCACGCGTGCAGTGGAGCCAGGCCCTATGGAGCAGCGCGTCATAGGCGCGTAGACGCTCTACGCGAGCGTAGGCGCGTGTCACCATCAAAATCCATAGAGAGCATGAATCTATTGTTGTATTTGTTCGTTTACCACCGTGCCATCGTACCAACATGCTCCTGGGGCAGATCTGTGTCGTATGAAAGAGTCCAGGTCCAGAAAAACTGTTAATAAGTGCTTTAAAATGTACTTTTGAAAGCCTCGTGTTTGCCGTGGTGAGTCTGTACGAAGGTAAATACAAGTGTGTTCAGCTGTTAGTTTCACTGTGGACCTGATACAAGCGGCTAAACGCGGCTAAAATTGAACTGCATGGAACTGTCCCATCTTCAATGTCCACTGTGTGCGCCCTCTAGTGGATGCATTATTTGATAGAAGAGAAAGGCCTGTGAAAATGATCTACCCCTACCCAAATTGATATAAACAAGTAAAATAATGGCGATTCTACAGTGGGAACATTATTTGATGGCTAAAGTGGCCTGTCGAAATGTGCTGCCTTTAGTCGGAACCTATTTGAGCATAATACAACTGTCCAAATGAACTACTTATGTATATGTGTATAAATGAGTTGAAATTTGTGTGATCACTGTGTGCAAACAGCGTCAAACTCACTGTCTCTAATCCAAAGAAATATGTAGTAAAACTAGGGAGGTCAGCTTTATTAGATCTATAAAACTGTAAACGGAAAGACTAGGGGTGTCAAATTATCGCGTTAATTGCGATTAATTAATTACAGTCATATTTAGCGCGTTATGTTTTTTAATCGCGTTAATCTCATTTTTAATCTCTAACTTTACTGTTTCTGTATGCGAGTTGCTTTATTATAAAACCTGTTTTTATGTGTTGTTGGGACAACAACACACACACACACAAAACACATTTATAATTTTTTATTTATTTCGGTAATTCCACTCATTGCCGGAAACCCACACAAAACGCGCGCAGTAAGAGCGATGTAAACGTCATGTTAACGTTTACGGCGTCAGTCACACAATGGACGAGGTCGAACAGCCAGTAGAACAGAGCAGTAGTGCACAGGTAAAAACACATTCGTGTCTTGGAAATTCTTCTCCCGACGTGAAATATAAAAGAAAATAACAAATATAATATCGCCTACAACTTAAATGTCACTGGTGAAAACAACCTGCATAGACTCATGATGTCTGCACTACTGTCCTATACACACACACACAAACACAAACACAAACACACACCTTCATCATTGTCATTAACCTGAGGCGCGGACCACGTTTCCTTCCGTAGACACTGCGTGGACACCGACGTGCTCCCGTGAGCCGCATGTCGATCGTGTTTTCTCGCGTACGCTGCGTAAACCGCGCTTCCTCCTGTGCGTCTCTAAACCAGAACTAACACCAAGACTAAAACCAGGACTAAACCAGAACTAAAACCAGAACTAAAACCAGAACTAAAACCAGGTCTAAACCAGGTCTAAACCAGGACTAAACCAGGACTAAACCAGAACTAAAACCAGGACTAAAACCAGGATTAATCCATTCCAGGACTAAAGTAGGACTAAAGCAGGTCTAAAGCAGGTCTAAACCAGGACTAAACCAGAACTAACACCAGGACTAAACCAGGACTAAATCAAGGACTAAAACCAGTGATTTCATATATAAAGCATTTCTCTATCAATAATATTTTTAATATGGTTAAGGAAAAACTGGACTTTTTATTGTCTTTAAGTAGACAAAAGTTATTATGTTCAGATTTCCTCGTCTTTACTTTACAGCAAACAGTTTCTAATTCATGGAGACTTGGGCTCAACAGCCAATTTGGAGAGACTTGTTAAACAATAAATGACTTTATAAAGTCACTTTTTTTGTTCTATATCAGTCTTTTGATCTGCCACAATAATGTAATAATGAATTTAAATGAAAATACCTCAAATTGAAGCTTTTCTCAGCAATTTTTAGGTGAGAATAAAATGAGATTAATTAGATTAATTAATTACAGATCATATTTAATTAATCTCTCAATTTTTTTAATCGCATGACAGCACTAGGAAAAACATAAGGTAGCTCATTTCGACAGGGCAGCCCATTTTGAGAGACAGAATATCAGCACCATTCTGTCCAGCCTGAAAACATCTAGAGACACATTCAGCACAGTCCAGTTTGTACAGATACAAAAAATATCATAAAAAATATAAATAGCATTATATTCCATACACCAATACAATTCTTTTAAAATAAATAGATCAGATAATAAAAATAAGGTTTCAGCATAAGAATAAATTAGAGAGAATCATTTTGTACTGACAAAAAGTAAAAATGTCTACATCAAAATTATTTAAACTAATTTAAATGACAGTCACTTTCAGCATCATTTGCTGTGTAACAGACGTACAGCTGTGATTAAAGTGCTCATGACCTGGAGTCCTACACAGAACTGCCCTATGACAAGACTCCTGAGGGAAACAAAGACAACAGATACCATAGACCTACATACAGAGCCCTCCACCAGCGACCTGACTAATGTTTCTCCAAAGTTCTGCAGCGCTGATTGATTGTTAGTGCACACCAGGACTAAACCAGGACTAAACCAGGACTAAACCAGGACTAAACCAGGACTAAACCAGGACTAAACCAGAACTAAACCAGAACTAAACCAGAACTAAACCAGGACTACACCAGAACTAAACCAGGACTAAACCAGGACTAAACCAGACTAACCAGACTAAAACCAGACTAAACCAGGACTAAACCAGGACTAACCAGACTAAACCAGAACTAAACAGGACTAAACCAGGACTAAACCAGAACTAAACCAGAACTAAACCAGAACTAAACCAGGACTAAACCAGGACTAAACCAGGACTAAACCAAGACTAAACCAGGACTACACCAGAACTAAACCAGAACTAAACCAGAACTAAACCAGAACTAAACCAGGACTACACCAGAACTAAACCAGGACTAAACCAGGACTAAACCAGGACTAAACCAGGACTAAACCAAGACTAAACCAGGAACCAGACTAAACCAGAACTAAACCAGAACTAAACCAGAACTAAACCAGGAAACCAGAACTAAACCAGAACTAAACCAGGATTAAACCAGGACTAAACCAGGACTAAACCAAGACTAAACCAGGACTACACCAGAACTAAACCAGAACTAAACCAGGACTAAACCAGGACTAAACCAGGACCAAACCAAGACTAAACCAGGACTACACCAGAACTAAACCAGAACTAAACAAGGACTAAACCAGGATTAAACCAGGACTAAACCAGACTAACCAGACTAAACCAGACTAAACCAGAACTAAACCAGGACTAAACCAGGACTAAACCAGACTAAACCAAGACTAAACCAGGACTACACCAGAACTAAACCAGAACTAAACCAGGACTAAACCAGAACTAAACCAGGACTACACCAGAACTAAACCAGAACTAAACCAGGATTAAACCAGGACTAAACCAGGACTAAACCAGAACTAAACCAGAACTAAACTAGGACTAAACCAGAACTAAACCAGGACTACACCAGAACTAAACCAGAACTAAACTAGGACTAAACCAGAACTAAACCAGGACTAATCCAAGACTACACCAGGACTAAACCATTGTAACATTTTCACTCATGTTAAAGGTCAAGGACACCAGTGTGAATGGAGGCCCCTGTATGTAAAGTTTACACCAACTACAATAAACAATGGGACATAAATAAATACATCTTTTAGAAAGACAGCAGAGCTAATGTGAGCGTCATGACGACACAGCAGAGTCACTTTTGACCATAAAGGCACATGAGCCAGTTTAGGAAGACACAAACCTGACGTCCCCGTGTATTCTACACATGAAGTCAGTCTGGTACTGCAGGGTTATGTCATGTGGAGGCAGGACTAATGTACTACCACCAACAAATACATGATGTCATGTTTCAGATGGAGGCCAGATGCCTATAGAACTTTAACAGATTCACAGGGTCCAGTGTCCAGTGATCCACAAATGTTTCTCCTCATTCTTTCTTTGGGATCAGTTCCACAAACCTCATATTAATCTCAGCTCAGCTACTCTTCGTGTCTTAAAAGTCCTTTCAGTTGGACAGCTGTACTAAATACATAATACCAGATACTAACTGATACATGGAACTCTTTGAACATAATCATGTAGAGAAGATTAAACTGGACCTTTGCTGAACACTTTTAGAATATTTGTGAGCAACATCAAAATGTTTTTACTTTGGCTGTAATACTCCACAGTAGGGCAGAAAACTCCTCTACCTCCATGGAGAAAGTTCCACAGTATTGTACTATACTGCACCACACTGGTTTGTCTGTTTAAAGGGCCACTATGTAACATTCTCCAGATAAGAGAATGAGACAGTTATAGTTATGCCAAAGCAACAACATTTCCATGGAAAGGAGCAGGAGGAGATCATCCTACAGCAAGCCCACTCACAGTAAGGACACGTTTTGTCATTCAAAATGAAAAACATGTTTTATTCTTTTGTCTTTAAAAAAATATATATATATCTTTAAATTATTATTGCAGTATTTAAATTAGCATGGGCCTTTTCCAAAGCATCCAAATGAAGTTTGATATTTTAATACTCAATAAATGAGAGCTCCACAGAGCGATACCAGACAGACTTCTTCTGTGTAGATTACAGTAGAAAAGTAGCACAGCCTTTGGTCTGTGTTGTCTATAGTGACGTGTCCTTAGACTTGGGGCCCACATTGAACAGTGCAGTGGGGTCTTTGGGGGACTGTTTTGTCCTGTGTTTCCTTCGGGTCTGACTGGTGCCTTCCTGCGCCCCCTGCTGGTCACTGGAGTCCCCCTCACTGCTGGACTCCTGGTGGGACAGAGGGACCAGGGCTGTCCCCCCACTCCGCTCCCCTCTGTCTGGGCTCTTGTTCTTGGCCTTGCCGGGGGACTTGGTGGGTTTCTGGGGGGTCTTGATGCGAGGAGGGGGCGTGACCAGGGGCTGTGGGTTTATAATGGGCAGACTCATGCGAGCGGAAGGGGCTTGGGAGGAGGTCACAGTGGGCAGGGCCTCAGGAGCTATACGAGGAGTCCCATTGGTCACGACTGTGGTGAGACAGTCCTCGTCTGTCTGATCTTTGGCGAAGTTGACAAAAACCTGTGATTAAAAAACAGATTTGTGTTTTGTTTTAAGTTAAAGGCATTGTACCTATTTTTACAGTTTTAAAGAAGACATTATGTATTCTTGTGTCTTCAGTTCCCTTTTAAACATACTTCTGGTCACCTTTGGATAGGTATTTCATATTTTCTACTTTCAAATAATGGCTTCATTTGGAAACTGTACTTTATAAATGTTACGTAGAAAGTAAACTAATGAAGTCCTTATCCCTCATGATTGTGAATTAAAACAAGGGTTAGGGAGCAGGAGGTGCACAGACTGAAAATAGCATTTATTTGGAATGGAAATGATTATAAATAGTTGATCATAAATACATGTATGGACTTTAAAAACACACAGATGCTCATCTTGGTTTCAGTTAGATTATTAAAAGTCCTATATTATGTAAAATGTGACTCCTGTGACCTTTAAGCCATGATATAATGTTGTTACCTCCTCAAAAACAGACCTGGGGGGGAGTTTTGTTTCATTCACACATGTCTGAGTAACCCTGGATTATCAGGCTGCCTGTTTCTCCAAAGCTCAGAAGCCTCCATGAAGTGGTAGCTTTAACGTTAAAGAGTCCATATTATGTTATTTTCCAATCTTATTATTCCAGTCATTAGTGTGATGATGTATCCTCAACACAAACAGACCTGGAGTTGTTCAATTTCATTCACACATGTTTGAAACACAAGTTCTTTTCTCAGACAGAAAATGGTCCACTGTGCTTTTAAACTCCATGCATCTTTTCTAAAATCATGTGGATAATTTCAGTCCTGGACTTGATAATCTCTACTGAACTAAAGGTAATAAAAGATGTGAACTTGAAAATTACTGCTTCATGACATCACAAGGTGGAATAGAGCATTTTGAACTTTGGAGATGCAGACAAACTAATAATGTACAGTTACTCAAACATGTGTGAATGAAACAAAGCACAACTCCAGGTCTGTTTTTGATAAAGTAACTACATTATATGATGTTGAACAGCTATTTTTAGCCTGAATTGAACTAATGCTATAGAATAAACTTAAGTTGGGGAGGGTTTGTGTGTTAAACATGTGGTTGGAATGAAGCACAACTCCAGGAATGTTTGTGACGAGGAAACATTAGAACATAGATCAGAAATGCAATACAGGCCTTTTAAAATAGGTTTGAAAAAAATAGAAAATCTAGGTATGTTTAACCATTAAAAGCTAAAACCTATTTGTGTGTTAAAGCTCTGACAGACAGACTCTCCATCTCTCCTGGTCGTGCCCGGGCTGCTCACCTGGTCCAGAGTGGTCTGAGACACAGAGAAGTCTTGGATGCCCAGCTCCTCGTAGTTGTTAGACAGTGTGTGGAAAAGCTGAGCCAGGCAGCAGGCGTGGGAGGGCATCTGGTACTGCAGCACATTCTGGTGGCGCTCCGTCAGCTGGATGTGGGGGAAGTGGCTCCTCATGTACGTGTCGACAGGGCACTGCTCCTGGGCAGGTTTACACTCAGCCAGGCGCAGGATGATGGTGTAGCCATCACCAAACCTGACACAACAAACACACAAGCTGAATCTGGAGGACTAAAGGGGAGAGGGAGGGGCACGATGTGGAGGACTAAAGGGGAGAGGGAGGAAGGGAGGAGGGGCAGGGACTGGAGGACTTAAGGGCTAGTACTAGTTACAAGTTACTTTTTTAGGCAATATTAGAGCATTTTCTACAAAGAAGTGTGAGTTTTAATGGATAGTTTAAAGCCAAATTAAGTTGTTTTAAACTAGAATCTGTGTATTTGTTGAGCTCTGATCAATCAGACTAGGCCTGCTTCAAAGTACTCTGCAGAGGGAGGGAGGAGCACAGACAGACAGAGGTGAGTCATGGATTGGGACTCTTTCTTACTTTTATGCTTTTAAATGTAGCTAATTCCAAGCTAGAATGACACAAAATCAAACATCTAATCAAATACATAAATGTGAGTATCTGTATGACTTTGCACCCATGCTCAGGACTACATTATGAAAAAAAGAAATGCAGCCTGATCAGTTACCTGAATAACCTTCACTTCTCTGCCTGGTGCATTACTCACAGAGCAGTACTTCGAGCGCAGTACTTTCAACACTGTACATTCAACGGAGTACTTACAGTGCAGTACTTTTAGAGCAGAGCTCTCACCTGTTCTTCAGATGCTGCACAGAGCCCAGACACTGGAAGCGGCCGTTGACCATGATGGCCATCCTGGAGCACAGGGCCTCACACTCCTCCATACTGAACACCCACAGCACATGGACAGATATCAACACAGCGGTATACACAAGGGAACTGAAGAGAAGAGCGCCCCCTACCTGTGAGAGGTCAGCACCACAGCTCGCCCCTCTCTGGTCACACTCAGGATGCAGTTCCACAAAAACCTCTTGGCCTTGGGGTCCATCCCTGTGGTAGGCTCATCCTGGTGAGGGGGAAATGAAGTCAGATACTAAAATTGTAATTATAGTGAAAGTTCAGACTTTGAGCCTCGTCAGATCAGTCCACACCTCTATCATCTCTACTCTACCTCCACATCTCCTCCTCAGTGGCATCATCTCCCCTCATTGCTCACTTCCATCAGTCTCTAAGCTCCTAATCTAGTCTCCACCACCAGGGTCTAGTCTCCACCCCCAGATTCTAGTCTCCACCAAGTCTCCACCACCAGATAGTCTCCACCCAGAGTCTCCCCACCACCAGTCCACCACCAGATTCTAGTCTCCACCACCAGATTCTAGTCTCCACCACCAGATTCTAGTCTCCACCACCAGATTCTAGTCTCCACCACCAGATTCTAGTCTCCACCACCAGATTCTAGTCTCCAACCACCAGGGTCTAGTCTCCACCACCAGATTCTAGTCTCCACCACCAGATTCTAGTCTCCACCACCAGATTCTAGTCTCCACCACCAGATTCTAGTCTCTCAACCACCAGGATCTAGTCTCCACCACCAGATTCTAGTCTCAACCACCAGGGTCTAGTCTCCACCACCAGATTCTAGTCTCCACCACCAGATCTCTAGTCTCTCCACCAGATTCTAGTCTCACCACCAGGATCTAGTCTCCACCACCAGATTCTAGTCTCACCACCAGGGTCTAGTCTCCACCACCAGATTCTAGTCTCCACCACCAGATTCTAGTCTCCACCACCAGATTCTAGTCTCAACCACCAGGGTCCAGTCTCCACCACCAGATTCTAGTCTCCACCACCAGATTCTAGTCTCCACCACCCAGTCTCCACCACCAGGATTCTAGTCTCCACCACCAGATTCTAGTCTCCACCACCAGGGTCCAGTCTCCACCACCAGGGTCTAGTCTCCACCACCAGATTCTAGTCTCCACCAGCAGATTCTAGTCTCAACCACCAGGGTTCTAGTCTCCACCACCAGATTCTAGTCTCCACCACCAGATTCTAGTCTCAACCACCAGGGTCTAGTCTCCACCACCAGATTCTAGTCTCCACCACCAGATTCTAGTCTCCACCACCAGATTCTAGTCTCAACCACCAGGGTCTAGTCTCCACCCCTAATGTCTAGGCTAAAATAAAAAATGTCCAGTGTTGGAAATTGTCAAATTGAGAGCACAGAGGTCAAGTGCAAGTTCTGTCCTCAGGCTGACAGTGTCAAATACTCTATCTTATACTCTATCTTCTCACCAGGAATATGACTGGAGGAGAACCGATGAGAGCGATGGCCGTGGACAGTTTCCTCTTGTTACCTCCGCTATAGCCCCCTGCCTCTCGCTCGGAGTACTGAAGCAGGCCCAGCTTCTTGATGCCCCACTCTGCCACCTGGAAGGACAGGAGCAGATACAGAAGCACAGACAGGAGCAGGGACACCAGCAGTAATCTTAGTGTCAGAGGGTCTGACAGCTGAATGACCCCACATGACTGTGTGATAGAGCAGTCTGTTCTTGCAGTGTGTCTGTGTAGAAGAGTGTGTGTGCTCACCTTGGGCACATGCTCCTCCTGTACCCCCCTGAGGCGAGCATACAGCTCGAGGTGCTCCCGGCCCGTCAGCAGGTCACTGATGGCATCAAACTGGGGACAGTAGCCCATCAGCTGGTGCACACGTTCCATCTCCCTCTGCACACTGAAACACACCGCAGAGAATTAGATGAGTAGACTAAGGCTACAAGACCATCACAAGATGCTTCTGAGGCCGGACCCAGGAAGTAGGTGAACCATGTAGCAAGTAAACTCCTGTCTGACAAAAGAATCTCTAATTCTAAACTTAAAAACTGAAGACAGAATGAACCTTCATCAAAGAAGACTCTTGCTATTTTTGTTACTTATTTAGAATTGTGGTACCATTTATATTTTGATCTTTGTCATTAAATTGTAATGTGTCCAAATAATTTCCCCTGTGGATCAATAAAGTCTAAGTACCTGTGCTGACTGAGGAAGGCCTCTCCAAAGGTGATGGGCGTGTCTCCGGTCAGCATCCTGAAAGTGGAGGTCTTTCCCGCTCCATTGACCCCCAGCAGGCCGAAGCACTGAGGAGCACAGTCTCAGCACGGACCACACAGTATGTAGTAACTGTAACTACTGTACACAAGTCTTACCTCACCACGAGGGATGCCCAAGCACAGGCGGTCCACAGCAGGCTTCCTACCTATTTTATACACCTGACAATAACAGGAAATCAGTTATGAAAGACAATCATTTAAATATGCAATCTAAAACAATGGAACAATTTAAAATGAAAGCTAGAAATTAGAAATAAAAAGCATGCCATAACTGAGACATATCACACTTTTGAAATTATTTTGAACACCTATACAAAGGAATTACATATTTTAAAATATTTTTGACTTGATTAGGTCCATCACCAGCTTGGCTCCATGGAGATGTTATTACTTTGTATACAGCTACATTTTATTTATTTATTTTATACATAATTTATTTTATTGCTCTTACTTGAAAAACATGCATATTCTGTCAACAGACTCGTTTCCCCAAAAATCTAGTAATTTAACCTGGCAGATAGATAAGTGTAATGCCATACAGGGGAACTTTCCTGCCATGTAGACAAGCAGGTGATGGACGCTCAATGAGATAAACACCTTTAAAAAGACGTGGTAAAATAATGAGAAACAGTTGTAGTAGAGAAACGAGCAGGCCCTCACTGAGCGTGTGCAGTGAGTACCTTGCTGAGATCCACCATGGTGAGGATGTCACTGTGAGCTTTGCCAGACTTCACCCTCTCTCTCTCCCTGGACACATCTTCATCCTCAGAGCCCAGAGGAGGAAGCTCCACCTCTGCCCACCACCACCACGGCCTGCACAACACAACCACAAGGACAACAACCACACAATAGTTTTGAGTGCTATGTTTATTTCTTTACTACTTGGTTGCACATGGGCAGCAGATACATAGAGGTAATTCCATATCTTTAACCTAGCGACCATAATGTTACCATCTATTTTCTTGTGTTGTGTATTGTGTTGGGTAGAGGGTTTCTGTTTTACAACTCAGCTCTACTTCCTGTATTTATGTACTTTTCTTCTCAACTTCAAAATGAAAATCACAGGCTAAGTATGTTTAAAAGTCCTGTGTTACACAAAATGGACTCTTGTGAGCTTTAAGCCATGTTGGTCTGATGTTACCTCATCAGACATATAAAAAGAGTTGTGTTTGGTGGCGTGCGGTTCAATCAACACGGCATTAGCCACAGCCTTGAAGTTGTGTTGTTTTTCTGTTGCTGGACACCCTTTCACCATCTCGGTCAGAGAAACGGCTTTTTGGCTTTTTTTGCTGGAGGACTGAAGGTACTGTTTTCAAGATATTTAACTAAGCCTTGTGTTTGTGATGGTAGAAGCCTGACACAGAAAATAGCGTAATATGGGTCCTTCAAGTGTTAAAGTGCACTGGAGCTGACCTGAAGCGGAGGAAGAACTTGTACTGCAGTAGGATGGTGAAGGTGAAGAAGAGGACTCCCTGAGCAGCCATGGCAAAGAGGTTCTTCCCCACAAAGTCCCACTCCAAAGGGTCCAGGTGCGGCTTGGCTCCTGGAACACACAAGCAAATCAACTTTTACACAGAATAAGACCTCATGGACACAGTTGTACATTCTCATTATATTGACCAAAAATGGCTGCCTTTATGATTTGTTCTGTTCAATCAATTACTCTTGAGCCCTTCTTGAAACCATATGTTCTGTAGTGTTTAAGCTGATTTGAACACACAGCCTTAAAGCAGCAGAGGCGTACCCAGTCTGTGGAAAGCGTCAGCCATAGCCTGGTTCTTGGCCATGTCAATGAGTCCTCGGCCCAAGCAGAAGTGAGGGAACACCAGGAAGACCTTCTTCAGGATACGGTTCACTTCATTCAGATGCTGCATGTTGCAAAGAAAAAGATTAAATATTTTCATATTTTATATTCAAATCACCCTTTGCTTTGTTAAAATATTTAATGTGTGTTATTTAACTTTTTTCTTTACTACATAATTCTATATGTCTATATTTGATGTCTTCTGTGTGGTAAATGATAAATGGTCACATTTTATATAGAGCTTTTCTATCTTCAAGGCTCCAAGTGCTTGACATCAAGGAACCACTCACACATTCACACACACATTCACACACACATTCACTCACACATTCACACACACATTCACACACACATTCACACACATTCACACACATTCACACACACATCACACACACATTCACACACACATTCACACACACATTCACTCACACATTCACACACACATTCACACATTCACACACATTCACACACATTCACACACATTCACACACACATTCACTCACACATTCACACACATTCACACACACATTACACACACACACATTCACACATTCATACACACATTCACACACACATTCACACATTCACACACACATTCACACACACACACACATTCACACACACATTCACACACACACACACACACATTCACACATTCACACACACATTCACACACACATTCACACACACACACACATTCACACACATTCATACACACATTCACACACACATTCACACACACATTCACACACACATTCATACACACATTCACACACACACATTCATACACACATTCACACACACATTCACACACACATTCACACACACACACACATTCACACACATTCACACACACATTCACACATACACACATTCACACACACACACACACATACACACACACACTCACACATTCACTCACACATTCACACACACATTCATACACACATACATTCACTCACACATTTATACACACACACACTCACACATTCACACACACATTCATACACACATTCATACACACATTCACACACCAGTGCACACAGACACTGCCAACCTTTGGATCAGTGGACTAATGCTTTGTCAACTGAGCTACTATCGTCCATATATGTATACAAAATATATCTATATTTTGTATACATATATGGACGATAGTAGCTCAGTAGTGGTTAAAAATTATAATTTTAAAAAACATTGATTGTGTCCAAACTTTGGCCTGGTAGTGTACAGCGTAGTACTAGTACTAGTACTAGTACTAGTACTAGTACTATTTAGTGCACTACCACCAGTTCAATCAGAGGGGCTGTCTAATAATCTTAGCAGTATTATTTCTCACTCAGTATAACATGATTTCACAACAAGAATAGAAATATATGGTATTTGTTAGTATGCACTAAACAAGATCAGTGTTTCTCAAACTATGGAAAGAGAGCTCCGTGTGGTGATAGGTCCTCCACAGTTTAACTTAGAAATAATTTGTATCCTCCATTGGGTCATTACTTCAGTCACATGTATCAAGAGAAATACAACACAGAGTGAGCGAATGATGAGGCAAAGCTATTATGAAAAAAGTATGTCAACATATATGAACTATGTTCTTTGAAAAATAAGAGTACACCTAAGATTAACAGACTTTAGTGTTTCACACATTGATTCTCTAGATTCTGTAGTTTTTCAGTCCCCTGTGTTATTTTTTTTCCTCATTAGAAGCCACATTTGTTTAGCCCATGTATGTCCCTGATTGGCTAATCCACCTGTCAGTCACACCCACTTGACTCAGGGAGATTCACCAGTGACCAGACTCACATTTTCAGAAAGCACTGAAGTGTGTATTCTGGATCCCAGGAAAGAATAATGGGGCACTTTGGCTAAAGCTACACAAAACTTTATACCTGGTCCACAAAGAGCTCCAGGACAAAGGTGGCGATGCTGCCGTTGATGCCGATGAAGAGGTTGATGGAGGTGAGGAAGACGTAGGCAGTACTGGGCACACTGAAGATGAAGGAGGCTGGGTACATCAGAGGAGTGATGGACCACCTGCATGGGGAGATACACCATCATTCTCATCATTTGGTCTCTATGTACTGTGACAGCAACAACTTCAGCTCATATTTAGATGTTTCATTACTGGAATATGGGGCTGAATCCTTTAAAGGAGATATGTTATGCTTTTTAAGTACTTGCGTTGTGTTACCCATAGAGCAGCAGCAGCAGGATGAGGGCGGGCAGGTTGGTCTCTGACACATAGGACTGCTGCTGGAAGGCCAGGAAGATGAAGACCACCATAGTGGCCGGGACCGTGTAATTTATCTGGAAACAGGCACATCATTCACTTTATCATCCACTATCTAGACTTAGGAGCACTCATTTTAAACAAATGTATTAAATTCATGTAAACATATGAAATTGTGCAAATTGTTCAAAGGCACCATATTGCTCCTAGTAGGATAGTACAATGATAACATAGTAGCAAGAGATTTCAATATTTTAACATATTTAATATGTGGGAGAAGTTGTACTAAGGTAAACGAAACCACAGGAGCTCCTCATCCTTACCATGTCCCAGGTGAAGTTGGAGAGCCAGTAGAGCACAGGCTGCACTCCGCTCACAAACTGCAAGTGCTTGGCCTTACTAACCCTCTCCTCAATGAGGAAAAGGACGAAACTGGCCGGGACGAAGGACATGGCAAAGATCACACAGATGGACACCAGCACATCCACTGAGGTTGTCATCCTGGACACAACAGAAACAATAAGAATGGGCTCAGATCACTTCAGTTCATATTTATCCGTTTGGTTCAAGTTCTTGTTTACTGTACTCAAATGTATAGAAAACCTCCCTCCTTACTGTCTGAGCAGGCTTGCATCTCCACAAACCTGACTTGAACTCGGCCTGGAGGAGGGCCTCCATGGATTGTGGCTAGAATATTCCACAGTATGGCATAAAATGTATCTATTTTCAAGTGTGTTTTTTTTATTTCAAGCTAAATGATGCTGAAAATAAAAATGACAAGTTGATAAATCAAAGCCCTAGATAAGCCAGCTATTTCAAGTATATACTTTCTGGAATCCAGTCGACAGTTTTGACCTGTATAGATGTCACATTTTTTGCAGGGTTATAGTAGTGATGTGATAGTAATATTTCTGTAACTTTCTGGTGAGGTCATCTTGCATTTATTTAATTAAAGGTGTTTTAACAGTTCAAGATGCCTTGAAAAACTCCTCTCCACTGATCTGACCTATATTTTGATCTGGTGGTGTGACATGCTTGTCTCCATGGAGACAGGAACGTTAAAAGGCATACAATGGAACATTCTAGGCAAAGCAATAACAGTTTCGTGGAGATCCTCCACCAGAAACGTGACATATTGCACCTTTCATTTCCCCTTGCTTTGTAACTCTTCTGCAGAAAGCTCTTGTATAAGGCTGCAGCTAATCATTATTTTAGTAATCGTTTTTTGATTAGGTGACAAGTCAAAGGATTATTTCTATTGAACGTTGAGACTTTTTCAATATATTTTTTACCAAGTAAAGGTTGAAATATGGTGACTGAAGGATTCTAAAAGAAAATATTTACAAATTATTGATGAAAATCTGAAACAACATTTTGATTTAATAATACCCTCATCTTTTTTTTTCTTTTTTTTTTTTTTTTAAATAAAAAGGTCTATTGGTATGTGTTTTAGAGTCTGTATAGTCCAGATAATGACTAAGATGATCAAAATATGTGAATTGTTTTTAAGGTCCACTAGTCACTAGGGCTGTCTAACGTATAAAAATCAGACACTAAACTGAAATGAGCCTTTCCAGAATAGCATTAGAATGATGTTGAGCTGTATCAAAACAAGTAGAAGAGCACATAGACTAGTATACACACATGGACCTCACCCATATGTGGACACACATATAAGAACACATGGAAATAGAAAAGAAAGTTCTACCATTTAATGTTGATATTACATTCTATCGTCTAAAGAAAGAGGGTTTTTATTATCATCAAGGTTTTGGATTAGAGTATTGAGTCTGTTCCAGATTTGGGTATCATCCCAACACTGCTAGTCAGAATCAGTGGAGTATACTTGCAGCCCTTCTCTTGTACGAGTCTGTGACTGGTGTAGGGCTGGGGCTTACATGGCCATCTCAGTGAGCTGCTCCTTGGTCAGGTTGAGTGGGTGGTTGTACGCAGTGATCCCATGGGTGCTCCTCTGAGGCCCCGGGGGCAGGCTGGCTCTGAGCAGGCCGTTGTTCAGCACATTCACAAAGGACACCATGGAGTGCCAGCCTTTATTATTGTACCACACCTGAGGAGGAGCACAGGGACCAAGAGGGAATCAGGTCAGGCCAAAATAATGCATAGCAAAGGGCAGAGCAAAGAGTTAACAAATAACATTTTGATCACCAGAGGTGGGTCGTACTTAGTTACATCTACTTGAGTATATTTTTTAAGAAATAGAAGAACTATTTCTTCAAAAATGTTCTCAAGTGCTCTGGATAGTTTTCAGACATTTTTAATCTTACTTGAGCTATTATTGCTTGCTTCTGTCTCCACTGAATTTGCTTCAATGAGGTGCTACACTTCAAGTGCTCATCTTGATTAAAGATCAACCCCATTTCATGTAATGAACACATTACAGAGATGTTTGATGTTAGAGATGTTTCTTAACATTCATTTTTCACTTCAAGTTATATCTTCCATTTCTGTGGCTAAACATTGTTTGGATATGTGGCCACTAGTAAAGCCACAGTAAACCAGTGCCTCTGCCATCATTTGGATATGTCTGATTTTATACATTATCTGTAGGGTTTTGAATTTCATTAAATCCTATCATTTATTTTAATATTAATAATATTAACCCCCATTAAACAGAACCAGAATGGCACTTGCCTTGACGTTGTCCTGGCTGTGCAGTCCTCCCAGAAGTTCAGGAAGGCGCTTGAGCAGCTCGTCCACAGAGCTGTTCTGAAATAACACCACAGACACGTACATTTACAGCAAATGTACCTGAAACGCCTCACTATCCCAACACTCATTCAACACAACCTTTTACAGAGACTACATCTACTGCTGTACTTTGAAAATATCAGATTTTGTGCATTACTATTTACTTCTACTTGAGTAATATTATTTTGAATTAATGGTACTCGTACGTAAGTACAGTCTTTGTCTACTCCACCACTTTTGAGTGCTACTCCACCACTCTTGAGTACTGCTCCTGCACTGATCCCAGTGACTTGGACAGAAACAAAGATTCAGATTTCCAATAATACAAGCAGAATGTGTACCTGTGTGACTCTGTAGCGCCCCCTGATAGCTGCCACAGAGTCTTGAATGTTCTGGACCTGAAAAGTCTGTGCTGTGCTGCCCCCTAGAGAGAAGCCTCCATATCTACAATAAACAAAAGCAAGAAAGAAAAGCAAGAAAAGAGATGACACACTTTCAAACATCAGTCTGTTATCCCAGTCATTAGCAGAGATAAGTGCAACATACCTGAATTCATTCACCCACTTTTTAGTTTTCAGACTGTTGAGTGAGAGAAAAAGGCAACAGTGAATTTTACAATTTGTGCTATTACACTTACAGGTGTTTCATAGTTTATAGCTGAAGTATTATATATACTGTAGCACCAAGCAAGTGGAGGACCCTCATCAGAAAAGTTAGTGAGCCTTTAAAGCTACCATCCTTAAGTTGACTTATTTTTTGTTACCATTAGATGGAAAACTAAGTTCAAACTAATAGCTCCAACAGAGAACAACAGAATGATTTTATGAGCAATAAACATGCAATACTCAATAAACCAGGTCAATTTGCATTTTCAAGTACCAAGTACTCATATGTCTACACCCTGCCCCTCCTCCCCTCACTTTCCCCTTTAGTACTCCAGGTACTGCTCAAGTTAGCACTTGTTTTTAAAATGTGGTTGTTGTAGATGTTTAGGAGTTCAGTCCTTTAAATGTAACTACAATTAAACACAAAAATATTACTCTAACGCTTTGTCCTGTCAGCGTTACCTTTTCTTGAGGATCTGGGAGTAGGTCTTCACCAGGTAGTCGGAGATGTTGTAGGTGGTCAGGTTTTGAAGGATGTCTCCAGTCAGTCTCTTCACCTGTAAAATGGAACAGGACTCACAAACACAAACATGGAACTGTACGTGTTCTAAGCAGGTCCAAGGGAGTTTGAACCATAACCTCTATTTACTAATTACCCACAAATGACAAAAATGTAGCAAAGTAAAGTCCCAGAAATGTGGTCTTTTTATATTTGCACTGCAATACAACTGTAAAAGGATAGACCCAGACCACCTCAGACTGTTTCATCTCTAATAGTTTGACCCCAGAGATGGGCTCTCATTGACACAGTGTGTGTATATACAAAAATGTAACTTTCCACATTAAGCCAGACATAGAAATGAGCAGTCCGATCCAAAAACTCTGAACACTGCACATTAAGTTCAGCAGGAGTTCTATGCTGCTCAGAGTAGTGTTGTCCAAAGTACTGAAAATCAGATACTAAAACTAGTACTGAAACATGACACTTATTTGAAAAAGTATAAATATTAAAAAAAATTCATTAATTCACTAATTCACAGGACAGAAAGGAACCTTTCTTTAGAGTGATCTTGAGCTGTATCAGAACAAGTATAAGAGCACACAGACTGTAAACGCCCATGGACCACTATGGACCTACCTGCAATAGAAAAGAAAGTACTAATTTTAATGTTGGAAATTATATTCCATAGTTTAAAATAATGAATCCTATTCCTTAGTATTGAAATCGAGTATAAAAAGTGAGCAAGTTTGAGCAAGTTTGTGTTTTTGGTAAGAATTTGATGTTAGGTTTTATAAATTATGAATTGTATTCTTTGTACAGCATCTTTGAGTGTTTATAAAAGCGTCATATTAATAAAATGTAATTATTATTATTATTATTATTATTATTCTTAAATGAGAGTCCAGAAACCTTCCAGTGCACAGAGTGAGTGTATGTGTTACCTGAGGAGGAGGCAGCCCCCCCGCCCCCTCGGGACAGTCTGGAAGCATGCGTCGCACCTCCTCAGAGCTACACTGACACACAGGAGAGGGCTGCTCTCTGCTCCAGTTTCCTTTCTTAAACATCTGCCACGTGGAGTAGGACACATGAGGACGCATCATGAATGAGCCGTAGTCTGTCTCACACTCTGGGCTCCTGTGGGACAGTGGAGACAGTGAAAGGCACAAACAGTAGAGATTTGTATACAACTCATCATATATACATCTCAACATATACACTGTGAATATCAATGTAATAGAACTTTAATTCAGAATATAGATCTTGATTTGTGCACGTCTTACTCTACAGGCTAAATTCTAATTTCAAGTAATTTTCACTAGACATAGTTTTTCTGGAGTGTGAGCTTATTATAAAATGATATTTATTTTATTTAGGGGCAACTGAAAAGACACACAATTAATATTAGGGGTGGGACCAGACAACATTTCCACAAAAGAAAATAAGATGTCCATGAGAACAATACAAGATTTTAAAATAATTTCTAAATTGTTGAATTCCAATTTTGTCCTCTTTTTTTTTTTCTTTAATATTTTGTTGCCATTCTAGTATTGCTTTTTTGGATCTAAAAGAGATGTAAGTGCACACATTTCTCAAGTCTGTTGTGACCAACATTTCAATAAAAAGACACACTGTACCATTTGTCTTCCCCATCAGATGTGTTCATGCACTTGGTTCCAAACCCTGGCTGGTCCAGCAGAGCTTCCAGAAGCTTCTCCATGGAGGGGTTTCCAGGAGCATCGTTACTATACAGACAAACGATACACTAGTAATGTAAAGTGTCAGAGTTATGACAGCATGCCCTGTTTCACACATGCGTTCTGTGCTGTTGCGTGGGAGAAGTCAGTCTGACCTGAAGAAGGTGTACTGCTCCCCATACATCCAGGGCTGCAGCTGGAGGGCCGGGTACTTCCCAAACGGAGGCACAATGAGGCTGAAGAGCAGAGCCACCAGCACAAACACAGCAGGCAACACGATCTGAAGGACAGACACAGAGGGTCATACTATGTATATCACTGGCCCATTAACTATGAAGACTGAAGAAGACATATTGTGCTTTTGTAGTTATAATCTGTCTATTATATTATATTTTAGACATTTTAAATCGCAGTAGTACGGAGCATTGGCCGTATACCGGTGGCAGTGAAAATGTGGGTAGATCGGAGCAATGATGTCTTGAATGCAGGAGATAAAAGACGACTCAAACATGCACGGATCACTTCAAATACAACTTCAGAGAGTCAATGCGAAGTGAACATCAGTAACTTAGTTTAAAACTATAAACAGGCCACTGATTTAGCACAACAAGTCTGCTTTGAGTATAAGTCCTGACCTGAGCGATGAACCCCCTGCGGCTCCTGCGGGCGTACAGCCAGCGTTTGATGAAGAGCTCGGAGCTGCTGCAGTGTCAGCCTCCAGCCCACCAGGGGGAGCCCACACTGCCCCCCTCCACTCAGGGGGTCTGTCTCTGCAGCTTCTGAACACACAGGGACACACTTGTCAATCCAACGTTTGTCGGGGTAACAGTAAGAATTTGATCAAGAACTAAAACTATTACCTCAACAAAATACTACTAAACAAATATACTGTTTGACCAAAGACCAAACTATGCATTTTTAGTGAACATCTGACCCTCTCTCCATCTCCAGTTGCTATAGACAGATTATTTGTTTATCAGCACAGTGGATGCGTGCACAACCTAGGTGCAGAAAGCGTCGCTGTCTGTGCAGTTTACATGAAGTTGCAACGCTAGCCCTGCTGTCCGCACTAAAACAGTTTATCACTGTGTGATAAAATAAGTTATGATGCTAAATGAACATTAGTGAGTGGGATACATCTTAATAACCCATATGCGTTAAATGCAGGTGAGTGGAAAATTATGAGAAAAAAATGGCTCAAATTTCAGAAGCCGGAAATCCACTCATACCTGATCGATACAACTAGCCCCGCCCCCGAGAGAGTCTGAAATCTGCTGAAATCGTACAAAACACAGACATGATACAAGACAGGACAGTGTCTCTTTCTGCAGGAGAAATGCTCAGTAGAGCGAGAAGGGATGTAGTCTGATAATCCCTCTATAGAAACAGAGCATGCGATCATTAATCAGAGGATTAATGGTTCAACCACCACTGCAGCAGTGCAAACTGGTGTTTTGTACTTTGGTCACCTTCACCTCTCCTCCAGTGTCTATCTGCTGACGTGTGAGGGAGTGTTTGTTAGTAAGAGCCATTGATGGAAATAAAACTATTGTCTCAGTCCTGTGTGTTTAAACTTAACATGTGTCACTTCATTGTTCATGAACAGACTTGACCTGACAGTCAAAATAAATCAAGATATGATCTACCATTCTCTGGACAAGTTCAAACCATCTAATCTAATGTAACCTAACATAATTATAGTTATGCAGACATATTGCATTTATTTCCCTCAATAAATGCTGTGGTACCTTGTTTGCGGAGTCTTTTCCGAGCTGGTGCGTTAAAATGGAAACAGTCACATTTAAAAAATCAGACATGACACGTGCCGTATACATACACTACATATACAGTAGAGTAGACAGGCAAACACGTGCACTCACCAGGACCAGGCTCAGGCTCCTCAGGCCTCAGTCCTGCTGCAGAGCCCTGGGCTGGAGGACTCTCAGCCCCTGGGTCCGCATCCACTCCTGTCTCCTCAGCCACACGCAGGAAGATCTAAACACAACGCACACAATGAACTTCACAAACAGCTGCCTCGTGAATGGTATTCAGTTATACCTCTGTGATGTTAGAGGACATTTAAAAAATATGTTGGTACTGAAAACTGGTTCAAAAATTTTATTAAATATGAATAACTGTTGGTCCTGAGACCACTGACATTTTGCAAAATGTTTCAGGCTCCACTTCAGAGCAAATCTGTTTTTGTCGATGATATCAAAAAATGTGAGATGTATGAAGCACTGAAGAGGTTACCTTCTCCAGAGAGGCCCAGCTCCTTACCTCCTCCAGAGAGCTGTCGGACAGGCCGTAGCTGCTGAGGCCCAGCTCGTGCAGTTTGAGGTCCAGTTCAGTCAGAAACAGGGCTAGACTGGTGTCTTTAGCTGCAGACTGAGGCAGGTTTAGGATGGCCTCTCTGCCCTGCTCCTCCACCAGACGCACCTCCGGGATGTACTGCTGCGCCAGGGACAGCAGCGCTCCCATGTCTGCAGGCAATAAGAGGAAGTGTCTTCATCTACATGTTTTAATTTGAGTATTTATTTACTCAAGTAAGTTATTACAAACAGTCAGAAAGGGAAAGTTACACTAAAACAGCAGCAGTTGTGTTGCGGGGTCTGCCGGACCTGGGCTTGTCAAAAACATCTCCAGTCATTTCAGATCTTTTTCTTATTGTTTGTACTTGACGCTGAGACACATTGAAGGTGTCACCACCTCAGCAGTGGATCTGGTCTTCAGCCTCTTGATAATTAACACTTTGGTCTCAGGGTGGATCTTAGGCATGTTGTCAGAGGTCAAGTTGCAGTTGATGTGAAGGTCTGGTGTGCTGGGCTTCTTTTTATACACAAACACTAACTGATTGATCAGTAACTGATCACAGGTGAGGCTGTAATCTAGGATTGGGTGCATCATATGACAAGGCCACAAGACTTTTGTCTTGCCAAAATCTGACCTTTCTGTGTTCATTAAATGATCAATCTTTCTTCAGTGAAGCAAATTTATTTTAGTATATTGAGCATAATTTGGGAGGGTTTTAGCTTCATATGAGACATTTCTAAAACCAATCGATTAATTTAAAGTCAGGTTATAAGCTTTTGTTTCTACAAAATGGATAAGCGACAAGACTTTTGTCAGGGACTGTATATAGAGCTTAAATATAGTTTGTTAGTTGACATAATTGTACTAGTGTGGTACTTACTACACCCGTTGTCCTCACTGCCCAAGCCAGTGTCTTCACTCATTGAGGATTCACTGTCCTGTGGCTAGAAAACAAAATCACAGGGAGACTCAAACATGCACACCCATAAAAGTGACAAAATACAGACACATATACTGTTTCTATAGGACATAGGTTAGACTACACACAAGTGGCCTCTCTCTGAGAACCATCACAGGTCAGGGACCCTAACCCTAGCACATCAGGTAGCACCACACATCTTCATCAAACCATGTTCTGATTATATCTGTGCTCAATATGCCATGACTTTTTTTTAGTGTGGTACTAACTAGATATGCACTGATAATTTTACGATGATACTGATATTTTGCTATATTTGTTTAAAAACATCACATTTACAGTGGGTTGCAAGTGAATTAGTTGTGTACCTATTGTCTAACACTTTTCTAAAGCCTTTAGATTTGGAATAAAGCCTGGATAACAGTGTGTTTTGTGAGAATATAGAAGCTTCTCTATCCACCAAGCTGCAACGACACAGTTTAAAAACCTTTCCATTACTGGAGCACTGTGTCAGTAGTAATACTAGGCTGGTCAGTGCTTCCGTGGAAACAGCTTCTGTTTCACTGTGTCATAGGTGCACCTAGAACCCTCTCCTGGTTTATGAAAAATAGAGTAAGTACTAATAAGTACTTTCTATCCTCATAAGCTACTCGTACAAGTTACAGTATATTACAGGGAATACTAACGCTAAGGGTTGAAATCCAAAATAATGCATGTTATATTTCATGCTATACTATTAACTGTGAGTATAGTCTGTGAGACCTTGGTGAGAGGAGGCTGTCTGCTAGCATTGCTGGAGCTGGTACAGAAACTGGCGTGGCTAGCAGTGCCACTGTCCCCGTCCTGTTTGACCACAGTCAAGTAGTACCCTGAGCCCAGGTGGGACTTGAGGAACAGGGGCGTCCCACAGCAGCACAGCCGTCCCTGGGAGATGATGGCTATGCGGTCCCCCAGGAGCTCCGCCTCGTCCATGTAGTGAGTGGACAGGATTATAGTGCGGTCTGTGGCAACAGAGTGTTTGACATCGGTCAAATTCTGGTCAATAGCTTGCACATTTTTGTTTTGGACACACATGGCTCTAGCTGCCATCAGCAAGTGAAATATAAAAACACTTGAAGAACATTTCAAATGCAAAAGTGATGTAGGCAGTTTTATGTGCATGTGAGTGCTCCACACCTTTGCGGTATTTGAGGAGCAGGTCCCAGATCCCTCTCCTGGAGTAAGGGTCCACTCCGGCCGTGGGTTCATCCAGCACCACCACTTTAGAACCTCCCACAAATGCTATGGCAACAGACAGCTTCCTCTGCATCCCACCTGTGTGCAAAGAAAAGCACTCACTATAGCAGCTAGTCACAGACACTACAGTGCATGTGGTGATACCTGTGGTACATATTTATAGTAGGGTTACACAAGTAAAGGGAAAGCTTGTGAAGGAAAGTTGAAAAGTAAGTTGAAATTTACAGGAAGTAAAGGACAACACGCTAGGGGGAATTCAGGCACAATTCCAAATATTAATTGTAAAGTTTGTTCCAGTGTACTTCATAAGTAACAGTTATGGAATAGCGTAATAATTTCCTATCAGAAAGTTAAATTATAAACCACACAAATTGCTAAACTTGGGAGAAAGGCGGTAAATAGTTTATTAAAAAGCACAGGTGTTTACCTGAGAGGTTCTTGGCCTGTTCGTGCTTCTTGTGCAGCAGACCCACGTCCTCCAGCAGAGTGTCCAGCTCCTGTTTCACCTCCTCCTCACACAGGCCTTTGAGACGCCCATAGAACCACACGTGCTCTTCCACCGTGAGGCTGACACCACACAAACACAAACAGCTTATTATTACACATAAATCACATCACAAGGGCTGACTCCACATAAACATATTCATCTACATTGTAATAAGAAATGTTTAGGTTAGAAAGACAGGTTGTGGCCAACATAAACGAGGCCCACAGCATTCATGCCCTGAGCACCTGAGAGTGGCAGCAGGGTACAGTAGCTCCTGAGGTTTTTCCTGAAAACCACTACTAGTTATTCTTATTGGCATGCTGTCAGCAGTATCATGTGCTTCATGGAGACCTGGCTTCATACTAACTTCCCGGACAACAGTGCATCTGTACCAGGCTTTAAGACTGTGTGTGCGGACGGAGACACTCTCCTTAGTGGTAAGAAGAAGGGCGGCGGGATTACTGTTTTGGTGAACGAGAGGAGGAGTAATCCTGGCCATATTACTGTGAAGGAGGGTGCCTGTTTCCCAGACATTGAACTTTTGGCTTTGGGAATGAGTCCATATTATTTGCAAAGGGAATTTACTTCTGTGCTGTTCATTGACCACTCTGAATAAGACTGCTAGTGACTGAGCAGTCGAAACTGTCAGGTATGAAAACAAACTCTTGGTCTGAAAAAAAGAACCTAATAACATAATTCATCTAGAAATTCTCCTGGAACAGACCAAGTCAACCCAGTGCTGGGGACATGTGCTCCAAAGCTCATTGGGATCCTGCACTTTCTCTTCACCCTGTGTCCGAAGCCTGAAAGGATACTAGGGGTGGGCATGATTAGTCGATTAATTGATAATTGATCATTAAGAATTTCGTCGATTACGTTAATTTTTAATCGACAAACCGAATATAGGTTACTGTGCAATATTCCACTGAGTCCTGTCCTTTAGTCTGACAGAAGTTGACCGCATCAGTGCACAAGAACTGTTTTTTTCTTCACTTAGTTCATGCAAATTAGCCATGCAGTTTTAAGTTTTGTTTCTGTGAGATTTGCGCAAAGCTGCATTAAACACATTATAATGTCAAACGGGCTGATGTGGCTCTAGAGTGGTTATGGTTTATATGTCGTAAAGTTGCATTAATTTATGCAGATTAGTAGTGCAGATAGTAATAATAATGATGATAATTTTAATATAAAATCATTAATGATTAATCAGTAATCAATCATTAATTCACCTGAGGATCGATTAAGAAAATTTAATCGAATGCCTGTCCCTAAAGGATACCAGTGCTATGGAAGACCTCCTGCATTTTGCCAGTGCCCAAGAAGCCTATTCCATCTTCACTTAATGACTTCAGACCAGATGCTTTGTTGTCTCATGTCATGAAAGTGTTTGAGAGACTTTTTTGGCTCAGTTCAGACCCCTGGTGACACCATCACAGGATCCTCTACAGTCTGCCTATCAGTGCCATTTAGGTGTGGAAGATGCTGTAATCTATCTCATTCACCGGGCTGTTAAGGGCTTTGTGAAGATATTGTTTTTCTGATTTCTCCAGTGCCTTTAAGACAATCCAGCCCTTTGTGATGAGTGAGAAGCTGCTCAGGATGGGTATCAGCTCCTCCACTGTCTCCTGGATTATGGACTACCTGTCAATTAGGCCTCAGTACGTGCAACAGGGGACCCTCCCTGTCTGATCCAGTGGTCAGTAATGTACCCCAGGGTATAGTCCTGTCTCCGTTTCTGTTCATATTGTACACCCCCAGTACAGCTCCGGGTTCTGCCTCCTGCGGAAGTTCTCTGATGACTCTGCGGTGGCAGATTGTATCAGAGACAGGTGCTGGGACAGGTGCTGGGGTGTATCAGAGATGGCCAGGAGTTGGAGTAGAGGACACTGATTGCAAATTTTGTGGCGTGGTTCGAGGCAAACCATGAAGCCAATCACCAAGGAACTGGTGATTGACTCCGGGAGGAACACTAGTGGAGCCCATCACCATTCAGGGTCATGACATGGAAACAGTGGACTGCCACAAGTACCTTGGCGTCCAGGTGAACAACAGACTGGAGGGACAACTGTAATGGTGTGTACAAGACACTACATCCTGAGAAAGCTCAGATCTTTCAACATGCGCAGCAAGTTACTGGAGATCTTTTACCAGTCTATGGCCCAGCACCCTGAACATCACTGTGTTCTGCTGGAGAAGCAGCTCCAGGAAAAGGTTCATTGGGCAAATCGACAAACTGATCCGTAAAGCTGCTCATGTGATCCACTGTGAGCTGGAGACATTTGTCACAGTGAGGGACACGAGGACACTTGACAAACTGCTCTCCATCATGGACACTCCTGCTCACCCACTGCACCAGACTATAGAGGGACAGATAATACTCCCTACAACTGTACAACTCGCCTTTATGTAATAGATAATACTCCCTACAACTATACAACAACTCACCCTTATGTAACAGATAATACTTCCTACAACTGTACAACTCGCCTTTATGTAATAGATAATACTCCCTACAACTATACAACAACTCACCCTTATGTAACAGATAATACTCCCTACAACTGTACAACAACTCACACTTACGTAATGGATAAATCGTCTTTCTATGACCTCTTGTATAAAGCTGAGATTTTTAATTTGACTTATTTTTCTATTTTATTTTGACTTGTACATTTACATTTATATAATTATGCCTGATTTGACATCTGTCTCTTGCTCTTTTTTGCTACTTATTTAAAATGTATTATTACCTTTTATATTTTTTCTCTTTCTTATTATATTATATTGTGATGAGTGGGCTACTGTGTCCAAATAATTTCCCCTATGGAACAATAAAGTTTGTTTAAAATCTAAGTCTATTTGAGACACACAATTAGTGGCGGTGGCTAGACCTTCACAGTTGTTTAATGGACTGTAGATTTGGTTCCAAAATAAGAAAAACTGGCAGACCAGGCAACTCAAATTACCTATACACTACCCAACTTAACTGTCGTGGATTTAAGATATAATGGAATTTGCTCTTCCCTAGTGAGACAGACAGGTGCTTACATGTCAAAGAGGACATTGTGCTGAGGACACACCCCCAGTGTCCTCCTGATATAGTCCATGTCATGACGAATGTCCATCCCTCTGATGTACACTGTCCCCGACGAGGGAGGGAACAGGCCCGTCAAGACAGAGCTGAAAAGCACAACACAGCACCATTCAAAACATATCTGACCTTATGTTTTTACATCTAAAAATGTGACTTTTTTTTAAAGGTGCACTGCACAACTTTTCAAGTGGAGGGTCTGCTACCTGCTTGTCTCCATGGAGATGTTATTGCTTTGCCTGGAATGTGCCACTATATGACATTAAACAGATCTATCCGACATTTATTCTTTCTGTTGCTAAAAAATACAATAATTCCTTCTGTGAAAAGGGGCAACTCTCCACACATCAGAATTTTTATGTAGTGTAGTGCTGTAACCTGCTCGTCTCCCTCGTAACAGACAGGTTTAATCTATACTGTGGAATATTTGAGACAAAGCAATAACATCTTCATGGAGACAGGCAGGTGGCAGACCCTCTACTAGAAATGTTACGCAGTGCATCTTAAAGCTGTCATTTATCATCATCTTTGTATGAACCATGGACTGTATATATAAATGGACATACAGTAGTTAACACTATTGGAAAAGTGAATAGGAAGTGAGCATGTGGGCGCTTCAGAGCTTCTGACTCTGACTCCCATTGACTTACATTGGAATATTGTAGCCCCTCTCTCTGTAACTGCTGCAGTAAACCTTGTCATTTTGGTTTTAATATGTTTGTATTGACCCATTCTACATGACCCTGGTGTTTTTAGTTTGCTCTTTTGTCCATTAAAAAAGTCTTATTTATAATATAGGGCCCGGCTCTAACTTTGCCCCTGTAAAGGTGAGTATCGTGAGCTTCATTTGAGCGATGCTGAACACTGTGGGTAACATCACACTCGCTTAGTCCACTTCTTTATACAGTCTATGGTTATGAACACCTGATATCTGGACTGTTAATCTAAAGAGTTTTTCTTATACTTTACTGACTAGTATTGATTTGATTAGTTTTCTGTTTAAGCCCTGCCTGTTATGTAGTCTATACTCTTGCAAGATCTTGTGTATATATAGCTGGCCTCACATAGTGGTTGTCTTGCCGGCTCCGTTGTGCCCCAGAAAAGAGGTGATCTGTCCCTCATAGAACTTGAGGTTCAGGTGGTTCACAGCCACTTTCCCGCCCTTCTTATAGAGCTTCACCAGGTTCCTGATGCTCACCCCCAGAACCAGATTAGAAGGTTCTGGTTCAATATGGTCTGAAGACAAAGAAGAAAGGATAGAAAAGATTACAAAGTGCATGTGGTCTTTTTCATGTGAGGAAAAATAATACACGAACCATTTAAAACTGGAAGTCTGTATTTAAATCAGTCTAACTCAAAGTTGCTCTCTCATACCCTTTAATATCCCAGTGCAGTCATTTTCAGGTGTGTTCACATCTTTAGAACAGCTTTTTACAGACTGTGAAGTGAAACTGAGGTGGACCGTTCAAGAACAGTCAATGAGAGTGCTACTTTCTGTGCTCACTTATTTCATTATCTGTATTCATTGTCATTATAAAGACAATATTGTCAAGCGCAGTAGAGTGTGTTATGTTAGAGTATGCTGGGTGTGTACCTTGGTCCTGCTCCTCGGGTGCTGGGGGGATGGTCATGCCCACCTCTAGAGGGAGCCCACTCCAAAAGTTCATCTGAAACACAAAGTACCACGGCTTGGGGATCCCGAACTCACCTGGAAGATACAGAAACACGTTTCTTATAATATTAAGCACTTCTGTTTGACACATATAATTTTCATTATTACATATTTTTAGATTTTAGGTTTATTTATGACATAATAATTAAACCCAAATGACCTTCCTTTTTGTTTAATTTTTGGCTTTCACTTCAGACAGACAATCTCTAACTACCACTGATACTCACCCTTTTTACCACTTTCATACTTGGTAATGTGTCTTGATTAAGACCAAAACAGCAGAACTTGGTTCAAGTTGGAATTGCACCTCTTTTGCTTTTTATGTTGAAAATATCCATACGGCAAAGTTACTACCAGTATATAGTGGGGGTGTGCATTTTGAGGCCTCAGAGCATGAACCAAACTCCATTCACTGTACATAGATACTCTCCCTCTCTCACCAGGGAACACAGCCTCGATGTACCACGCAGCCACAGCGTAGATGAGGGCATCAACATAGAGCATGGAGATGGACGTGGCAAAGTTGTACTGGTCTCCAGTGACCGGGCTGGAGCGCAGGTTGGCCCACTGTATGCCCAGACCCTGCTCCTCGTACTGAGAGAAGTACTCACAGCCAAAGCCAAATGCCACTGGGGAGAGGAAGCTCTGGGAGGACACAAACACAACACAGTGTAATGGCATTTCAAGCAAAAAAAATATGGAAAAATGGCCAAAATCTTGTCTAGTTTGAAGTGGTTCAGATTTATTCCTCATTTACCTTATGCATTTTTGAACACCCTAATTATTCACAACTTTTAGAGACCAAAGTGGGTGTTACACAGAAAAAAATTCAGTAGAGGTCATTTAAAAACACATTTGGGTGGAGTTTTTAAGTTGAGTAATGTGAGCACTTATTTATGACAAGAGGAAGACTGTTTTGTGAGGCAAATGGCATACAGCACTAGGTTCCTCGCTGGGCTTTATAACTTATTAACATTATTGTTATCATTATTGTATAGACATGATTAGTGCACACACTCACCGCCAGGACCCTGTGTGTGGAGGTGAGGTGGTCCCTCCAGGCCACACACAGCACATAGGGCAGGTACAGGCTGAAGTAGATCAGTCCTCCACAGGCTGCAGACAGGTTGGCTTTGGAGAAGAAGGTGCTGATGAGGAAGCACTGCATGATGGTCGCCGTCGCAAAGGCCGTGAGAAAGAAGAAGACCACAGAGGGGTCGCTGTAGGGCAGGATGTCCCCCCACTGGTGTGATGAAGGAGAGACAACAGAGCACGCTTTAGCTAATAGCAATCATCAAAAATGCTACTGTTAAGTGGGAGCTGCCATGCCTCACAACTAGCCACACCCTCAGACCTGCATAAAACTCCTCTCCAGCTGCTGGGTGAACACTGCCATCCTCATGGTTGGTTGCTCTTGTGGCCAACTGGCTGGAACACTGAGCACTTTTTTACATTCTCAATTTTTTTTTCCCAGAGGAGGTTCTGATGGCTGTAACTCTCCTCAAAATTATGATTTATATAACAATAATTAATTTGGAAACTGTCATAAACTGATCACTTGAAACATGAATACATTTATTCAGAGCTTTATTAATCCCTTTTGGATTGTACATCCTTCTAATCGTATCTGACAGACCACAGTACCTTGAGCAGTGCGATGAGCAGAGCAGCAGAAACAAGGAAAGGCACGATGGAGGAGATGAACCAGCTGAGCCACAAAGTCCCAGAATTCAGCCCCATGATCCTCATGGTCTCCTTCAGACGTGCCTCCTTCTCATACACCACTCCTTTAATGATCATGGCCACAGAGTAGATCCATGCCAGGGTCATGAAGAGGGGCAGGGAGCGGTTCAGCACGCGCAGGAACCTGGCCATAGAGACATGTTTAGGAGACTGGGAGACTAATAAGATAACAATCTGAGATTTTAAGATTGGTACCATATGTTATTATCATTGAAGTGACAGTGTCTCAGTGCCTATAGCAGTGGTCCCCAACCCAAAGGATTAAAGACACTTACGGCCTGTCACAGTAATCACTATCAACTTCTCATACACTAAATAAAAACTGGAACAATATAATGTGAGGCTCAATATTTATCCTCTGTGTTATTTAATTTGCATGATGTTGTCAGTTTTTCTGGGCTGTGACAAGATTTGAGCTATAGAGGGTTTAAATAATTAACTCTGATGACTCTTTATAGAATCCCTCCTTGAACTGCCACCTTAAGATGGTGGAGGGGTTTGAGTGCCGAATGATCCGGAAGCTATGTTGTCAGGGGCTTCATGCCCCTGGTAGGGTCACCCAAGGCAAACAGGTCCGGGGGTATGGGTCAGACTAAGAGAGGTTCAGAAGCCCTTTATGAAGAGAAACACAGCAAGGCCAGTTACTTCGCCCGGACTGGCATTACCGGGGCATCATCCTGGAGCCAGGCCTGGGGTGCTTAATGGCAAGCGTCTGGTGGCCAGGCCTTCCCTCACAGGGCCCAGCCGGCACAGCCCGCAGGAGTGACCTGGGGCCGTCCTCACATGAACCCACCACCTGCAGGAGGATCCATATGGGGCTGGTGCAGGGAGAGCTGGGCGGCAGTCGAAGGCAGGGGACTCGACAACTGGATCTGCGGACATGAAGACTAGCTCTGGGCACATGGAATGTTACCTCGTTCGGGGAAAAGAAGCCCAAGCTTGTGCGGGAGGTAGAGCATTACTGACTAGATATAGTCAGCCCCACCTCCACACACAGCTTGGGCTCTGGAACCGAACTCCATGAGGGGGACTGGGCTCTCCATCTCTCTGGCGTTACCCGCCGGGAGCAGCGGTGAGCTGGTGTGGGCCTGCTCATTGCCCTACAGCTCAGTCACCATCAAGAGTGACCCTGTAGGACATTAGTATTTGGGCACCACATCTGGCCCAAATGCACACCTATGTGCTGGAACTTTGGGCTCTGTTTCTTGCCCTTCCTACATTTTGCTAAATGGTCAACCCGTACTGATGAAAACAAACAATGTGATCATGGTCGCGTACATCAAGGGGGCACCTGCTCACGGTGGCTGCACAGATTGGAGCAGAAGATAATTATAATAATAATAATACATTTTATTTATTAGGCACCTTTCTGAACACTCAAGGTCACCTTATAACAAAATAAATAAATACTATTAAAACATACAATTAAAAGCAGGACAGTATTTTAATTGATTGACTGTATTTAAATGACCTCCATTAGCTATCAACTATTCTTCCTGGAGACCTATGTATGTTTGGGTTGATGGGGGAAACTGGAGTGCCTGGAGGAAACCCATCCAGATATGGGGAGAAACAAAATCTGTACAGGAAGGCCCGAGAGAGAGAGGTGCCAGATTATGGAGGGCTTTGATTGTGAGAAGCAGGATTTTGTATTGAATGCGGTGTGAAATGGGTAGCTAGTGGAGTTGTTGTAGGATGGGTGTGGTGTGGTTGATGGAGGCGGTGCGAGTGGTGATGCTGGCAGCTGAGTTTTGGACCAGTTGAAGTTTATGCAGAGTTTTTTTGTGGCAAACCAAACAGAAGGGAATTGCAGGAATCCAGACGGGAGGTGACAAGGCTGTGAACAAGGATGACAATGGAGTTTGGAGTGAGGGAAGGGCGGAGGTGGTGGATGTTGCAGAGGTGAAAATAGGCAGATCGAGTTATATTGTTAATATGAGAGGTGAAGGAGAGAGTGACACCAAGACTCTTCACCTGAGGGGAGGGAGAGATGTAGGAGCAGTCAAAGGAAATGGAGAATTATGTGGAGCAGCACAAGGCTCCTATCTCTCAGAGCGACACATGTTCCAGGTGTCCTCAACAGAGGGGCCGACCTGTTGTCACGTGAGTTCTTCACACACAGATGGTGGAGCAGATATGGCAGTGATACGGTCAAGCCACCGTAGATCTCTTTGCCTTGCAGGAAAAGGCAAAGTGCACTGTCTTTCTCCTTAGTAGAAGTACACACCTCTCTCGGGGTGGACACACTTGTCCATCCATGGCTCGACGTCTTGCTCGATGCATTTCCTCAATCAGTCTGATATCCCCCACCCTAGCAGAGGTGAGGGAACAGAGGCTCTCACTCATCCTGATTGCCCCGCGACGGCTGTCCAAACCTTGGATGACGGAGATAATGCAGCTTCTCCGGAGACAGCCGTGGTCTCTCCCACTGAGGCAGGGTCATCTCAGGAGGGCGGGGAAATTTACCATTACTACCCGGACTGGCTGGCGGAATTTGAACGCCGCCGGTCTCCTTGCACACATTATTGACACTATTCAGTGTGCTAGGGTTGCCTCCACTCACTCTTTGTACAACTACAAAAAGTGGAGTGTCTTTGAAGAGTGGTGTGACGCCAGACCATTTCTGTGTCTGATGTTCCCCTGTGGGATCTCTCGATTGTGCTGGATGCCTTTGAAGGCAGTTTTGCTTCTTGCTTCTTGCTTACGCGTGTAAGTGAACTGCAAGTCGGTAAGTCGGCAAGCCTTGTCGGTTAGCCCCACATGTCTGCAGTTTGAGCCAAGGTGCATTTGCGCCCCAACCTGGCCTCCCAGAGTGTGCCATAACTCCCATAGTGAAATAACAATCAATGTTAGAAAAAGAACTCAAGGTTACTTAACGTAACCCGGTTCTTTGATAATAGAGTGAGGTGTTTCATCTTTATTTTCCTGCTTGGAAAGCGGTGAGAAATTACTTTAGAATGACTGCATTAGGAGAAGGCTGATTGTATCAGCAGAGGGGGCGGAGCACGAGATATAGTCATCCTGTCTGTTAGAGACAGATGTGGTGCCATTGGCGCTTCCGTGGATGGTTACGCCCGAGGCGATAGTCTCCATTGTATCTGTCTATGTGACCCTCATGTTTGGGCCATTCAGATGACACTAAGACAAACCTAACTGGATAACGGAGTACCCAAAAAAAAGAAGCCATAAAATGTACTGGTACATTTCCTCCACTTAAATGGTAGAAAGGGACAGATGTGTGTACTTACACATCATCCACATAGCAGGGGTAGGGCATCTGTTGTACATAGATGCCTGTGGTCTGGGGAGCTCCTGTCAGGACTTTGGTTATGGCTTTCTCCACCAGGTCCTGCACATACACAAAGCCTCCCCAGATGTAACGCAAGTCACTGAAGGGGTCTGCAGCCGGCCCTGGGTCCCAGAACCTACAAGAAACAGAAGAGTACAGGCTTCAAGGCATCATCAACAATAACAAGTCCAGATAAAAGAATATGGAATGACTACACAAGAGAAAAATGTAAATCAGAGTCCACTACAGAAATACAAGAATGTTTTTATGTGACAACATTTTTTCATTGCGTCATTTTCTAGTTGAATTTGGTTTGATTAAAGTATTTTAAGCTACCATCAGTAACTGGATTGCCCGACCCCACTCTGTTGTGCTCTCACATAACACCACTAGACATTACTTACTTCAGTCTGGCAGGGAGTTAGTGAGAGCTCCCATGGCAGCAGAGTGGTTGGCTGCTCTTGTGGCTACCTGGCTCACACACTGAGGTTTTGAAACTTTTAGCTTTTTGAGCTCAGCTTTTACACTCATATCATGAGATTCTCTCTCAAAGAGAGAACTTTGTGATGTCAGGCATACAGGAAATGTGCCACTGTGTTTTTAAACTCCATACACCTTCACTATCATTTGGGTGGTTTCAGCTCTTGAATTACCTATCTCTACTGAATTAAAGGTAAAAGGTTGCTGCAAACAAGAAACTATCCTGTCATGACATCACAAAGTGGAACAGAGCATTTTGAGCTTTGGAGATGTAGACAGACTAATAATAAAAGATTACTCAAACATGTGTGAATGAAGCAAGAGACAAGTCCAGGTTTCTTTTTGAGAAGGAAACAACATTCTAACATGGCTTAAAGCTCATAAGAGTCAAATTTGTGTAATATAGGACCTTTAAATTTACTACATAGACTACATCTACTGTTGACTGTGAAACACAATTTTGCTTGTAAACAGTATGGCCGCCAGTTTGGCCAGCTAGGCCACTAATGCTTTGTGCACTGCTGCAGCCGACAGTGTTCAAGTGTTCAAATCAAGCTTCATTTAACTGTTTACAAAAGCACTGTTTAAGACCTCTGCACTCGTATATGATATGTGACTCGCTTCATTCACGCTGCATCATTTGTCATGTGCCCTTGTTTGTTAATCAGGGTTATTACTGTGCTGACTTTTATACCACATTAAAGAACATATATGTTATGAGACCTGTGGATCATTGTCATAATTTGCACATTTTAAATTGCAATATTGATCTCAAAGGACTCAAAAGAATAAAAGAATCAAGTGTGCTGACTTCTGCGTTCGAAAACTGTGGTGTCCAGTGGGAGCTGACGTGGCCGTTAATGTCATCACAACAAAGTGCCGAATGCTATGGGCCCCCACATTAGCAGACAGCACACTAGAGAGCAGAATTTCTTTTTTATTTGTATCAAAACGCAACACTGTAGAATCCTACATGTATCACCAATTAAAAGTAAAATTGTAGAATGAAGTAGAGAGCAGTGGGCATGTACTGATGGCAGTGAAAACAGTCAGCTATATGGTGTCTTCAAAATAAGTGATTAAAGATTGCTCAAACATGGCCAAATCACTCCAAATACAACTTCAGAGGGTCAGTGAGAAGTGGAAACAGCTATAGCCTTAAAGCCTCTGAAAAGTGGATTTTGCAGAATCCCCTAGCTCCGTACCTGTCCTTGATCTTATTGGTGCGCGTGACATCATCGATGTCCATGCGGATCTTGTACTTGACATGTGGGGGCAGCTGAGGTGACGAGGCATTGGGCAGGAGGAAGACCACCCCAGCCCAAAATTGCCTGTCCTCCAGGAGCTCCAGAGCCCGCTGCACCAGCTGGCCCTCGCTCTCCAGGCCCTCCAGCTTGTTCATGGAGAAGCACTGCAGCAAATGAAATAAAGGGTCAATTAGAGGATAAACACTGCAAAAAAGAATGCATTAAAAAGGGTGTATTTTACTTCTATGGGGTCTTAACTGCTAACCCTAACATATATAGATCACAGGTTGCATTGTATTCTTTTGAAAATGCCACATTTACCGACAACGATGTATGAATGAATGAGAGATAAACTGAAGTCATGCTCTAGGCTCTAGAAAATGGGGCTATGCATTTTTTTGCACCACTAAATGATTTTGTGAGTGGATCAAATGTCTCTGTATGTATCAATAGTGTATTTTGTGTAAGTGCAAAGCCCTGCCTAAGCCTATGCCCACCTCTGTGACCTGTGCCAGAGTGCTGATGGTGCTGTTGAGGTCGGAATACAGGTCCATCCAGGAGACAGCAGCTCCGGGGGTTCTGGGGGTCCTGGGGCTGTCTGCGGGTGGAGTGGACAGGAAGCGGGCTATTCTAGAGGCTGTCCATGAGGTGTTCTCCAGACGTAGGTTCACCAGTACAGCCACCTCAGGACGCCTGAGCAGGTCCTGACAGACCAAAACACAGTATCAGCAAATACAGAGCCTCAAATGGGACTAATAATAATATAAAGCAGCACTTACCTGCAGAAGTTTGATCTCCACACTGGTCTCCATGTAGTTCCTGATTTGAGGGCCCACCTCCAGCCAGGCCTTGTTCAGCTCCTGGAGGATCTGCAGCTCCTCAAAGGTCCTGTTCACCTGGAAACATTTAAGGAATGGAAACATTAAACATTTGAGTTTTGTTCTCACTAGAGGCAAGTGCCTGGATTAAGATCATCTGCAGTGTTCTCATAACCATGGCTGAAAGATTAAAAAAACAAAATGATTTTTGGGTGTGTGTGAAGTATAATGATCAGATTTATGAGTTAATTGAAAATTCTGCTTCTGTTTTCAGTGCACAACCCATGTTACACATGTTACACATGTTACTGTACCATACTTTTCAGCGGTTTAAACTACAGGATTAGACAGTTGTATAACAATACTACAGAAAAAGAGATGTGTTTGATTACACAGGCCATAATGAGAGGACAAAACACTGTGTCATCGTGGGAAACTCTCCTGCCTTAGCTGTGTCTCTGACTAATGGTATATTGATTTGTTTGTTTTTTCAAATATACATTCTGAACCTATTACGCAGACATATAGTATTACTGATTGATCTCCTGAAATACTACCGGTTCTTCTCCTTGTTCCTGAAACAAACTGCAAGAGCAAGTGAAATCTGTGTGAACTACATCACAGAGACCAGAGTGATTACACACAGGCAGAGAGAGTGTAATGAACATTCTGATGTGCTGAACTAAGGCCATGTGAAACCAGCCTGGAGACTTCCTGCATAGAGCACTTCACGGCTGTTCTGCTTCAAAGTGCACTTGTAGTGTGTTTAGGGGCTTACACCCACAGGCATGAAGCATACCTCTTTGATGACCTGCTGGACTGCAGGGGTGTTGGGCGTGTACAGCAGTTTGCCAATGAGCAGAGGCTTGATGCCTCTCCACACGATGCGAGACAGAGAGTTTGACTCCAGGCCCTGCACCAGAGACTTACAGAACGAAGCTGCAAACACACACACGACGAAGGAAGAACAGAACAGCAGAGGACAATTGCATGAATCACTCTAACACAATCAGAGGGTAAATGAGAAGGGAAACAAGTGCAGCATGATTAAAAACTCTTAAAAGTTGGTTTTACACAATACATGCCTACCACGTTTTTCTAGTAGACAATATTAAGAAGAAGAAAAGGGTTGAGATGCATATTGAATATTTATCAGTATTGGCATGTACGTATGTAGATAAAACTGGGCTTATTGCTAATGTTTTGAATTCAAATCAAGCCAAATGAAACATTAGGTTGACTGACTCATGTTGCCGTCCTTGTCCAGGTCGCTGTCCTCTGTGCCGTTCTTGCCCAGGAAAGACTTGATGTCGTTGTCTTCATACCAGTTGAGTGAGGGGATGCGCTCTCCACCCACCTCAGGGTGCCCACACATGATCCTAGAGAAGGCTGTAAAGCTCTCCCGGGGCAGAGCTGTGCGGTTCTCTGAGGACAGTAGTCGCAGGGCCGAGCTCATGTCCGAAAAACTGGACAGAGACAAGAACTGACATACAACAAGAACAATGGATTAGAATATGAAGGACAAATACTCAAGCAAACATAAAGCAGTTCAATGCCTTCTACCAGGATACTGCTGTTGTGTTCTTGAGCAAGATACTTGAAACAGACAAGGTGGGGGTAAGCTACGTTGATAGAAATAAACATTTTGATATTTTTGTCCTAAAATGTGCCAATAATCATGCTGTGTCACAAGTCATAAAAAGTTTCAACAGCAATTTTCATGTAATTTTTCCATCTGATCATTTAGCAAGTTTTGGTAGTTTCTTATATATAATGTAATCATTGTTATAGTCATTATTCACACTTTATTTACTCTTCAATAGACTGGAAAAAACTCCACGATATCAACTAAATGACATCAATAAATGAATACAGGGATAGATATAGATGTAACAGAGACAAGACAGATGAGGTGCTTACGTCATTGATGAGCAAAACCAACTCCTGAGACACGGCGCCCACAGCTCCACTGAGCCTCCTGAGCTCTGCAGCATTAGACAGAACTCGCTGTCTCTGTAACACACATAGTCACTCTTACTCGATAATATGCATAGTATGCTTTTTACTGGTATTTAATGTCCTGTCACACACAAAGATCATTAGTTTATTCATTTTATTCATCATAAAGCAGTACTGATCTAAACAATATAAAAAATTAATTTGTGAATTTTGAAACTCCTGATACTGGCATATCCCTGTAACATCCATCAAACATCAAAACTGTATATTTTTGTGAAATTAGGTCCCAGTGGAGGTTCAGGGTCAGTTACAGGGTGAATTTGGGGGTCCAGGCCTGAATAGTCTGTAACACCTGTGATAATTTACTGTTTTAGACACAGGCAGAGGGAAACATGAATCTGGCTGCATGCAAAGTTTGCCTGTGTCTGATACAGATGTTGCATCACATCAGCAAAACTATCAGCCTCCACAGCCTCTTCATCTCCTCCTCTTCACCAACGTCTCATTTGTTCAAATACCGTGAATAACTTGGAGAAGTCGAGTTGCGTGAGGAAGAGGCGCTCAGCGTGCTGCAGGACGTCAGTGGGCAGTGCACACAGCGCTGTCTGCAGGGCGGCCATCTTGTCTTCTCCTCCATCCACTGTCAGAAACTGCCCCAGCATGGTCCGGTTACACACCAGGTCTTTCAGCTGCATCTGAGCTCCAGTCACCACCACCTGGACACAACGTGCACAGCACACAACACATAGAGGAAGATGGTTACATAGGAAATGTAATGATAGGAAAAAGAAACAGGATTTTTTTCTTGTAGAGTCCCAAGTAAAGTGTTCATTCCCTGCTACTGGCAGTTAAAAGAATGTTCAAAATGTTTTGACTTGAGTGCAGAAATGATCAGAATGACATTTTAGAATGGTTCAGGAGGAGACACACTCATCTCAGTGGATTACTTCCATGTGAAAGTCAAATTTTGGTCTGATTTGCTGAGGACATTTTACACCTGATGAATATCTGGAGTGGACTGATCAGAATACTAATGCTAGGGCTGAAAGATTTAGGGAAAATATCTGGGATTTTTCTGATTTGCATTATTTGTTTTGTTTTAATAATATGATTCTGTTCAAAGTTCACATTTTAAACACATCCAGAAGAATTAACAAAAAGAAAACTTGAAATCTGAACTGACAAACTATTACAAGAATCACATTTCAGAACATGTTTGCACAGATCTAAACTACAGGGTTAGAAGTTTTTATGCACAGTAAGACATTATATTTAGCTGTGTGGAAAAACTGGAATACTTAAAAAAATGAAGCCTTTGCGATTTGCTCTATGCATCTATTCAAATGGCAATTTCAATTTGATTGTGATTGATCTTGTAGTTCTGAATGTAACTGTGTGTGTCCTCTGTCATAGTGTCCAGTGTGAGATAGACAGACCTGAGAGTTGAGTCTGGCTCTGAGCAACTGCTCCACAGACTCCGGGGGCAGGCTGCTATTGGTCCGGAGATAAGACGAGAAGCTCTCATTGGCTCTGAGGTATTCTCCCACTGTCAGGTCTGAAACACACACAAGTCCTTTACAGTGCGAATTCAGGAGGTCTCTTGTGCTGTCTCTGGTCTACAGCTCTGTGCAGTAAAGTCATGTCACTAAAGTCTGTGGTACTTCTGTATTTTACATATGAACGCAGGAGCTAACAACAAAGTGAGTGAAGGCTAGGGTTGTCAAAAGTACGGAAAATCTGATACTAATTGACTAAGCTGATAGTAAAACTAATATCAAAACTAGATACTCATTAGAAGTATCGCACTACCATTTAATGTTGAAAATCACATTCTATTGTGTTTTTATTATTATCATGGTATCAGAATCAGTATAGAGTATCAAGTCTATTCCTTGGAATTTGGAGTATGTAATTTGTCTTATAGTATTATATACACTAGTGGAGTCATTTGCACTTGCAGCATTAGAAACAATAATAAACATAGTCAGTACTTAAAAGAGCCGCATTATATTTAAATCAGTCCTAGAAGATAAACACGTGCATATTGGTCGTTTCTCATTAATTACTAGTGTATAGTGTACAGTCTTTGGTTAAAACTTTGGCTGGATTTTGTATTGTGTGGGTCATGTGAGCAGAGGAGCTACCTGGGTTCACTGTCCCACTAGTGTCAGATTTAGTGTAAAGTGATCAGCCTGCTTTGTAGTGACTGTGCTCTGAATGAAGACAGATCCTCCACAGTGTAGCCAAGCTTTCATTCAGCACACTGTTACAGCTCCATCACTGCTGCTGCTGTGGTACTAGACAAAAGCACCATTACTGGCTCAATGGAGTGTGTCTCTGTGGATGTCGCAGGAGCCAATAGTCCTCAAACTGTTCTACTGTATAATCATAAAGGTCCTATATTAAGCAAAACTGACTCTTGTGAGCTCTATACACTTTACCATATAGTGTGGAATAGTATAATAGCCAAAGGAACTACAGTGCCATGGAAACAAGCAGGAGGAGGCCCTCTTTTCAGGCCAATTAAGAGTCAGGTTTGTGGAGGTGCAAGCCCACTCACAGTAAAGACACAGGTTTTTCTACGCTTTCAGTCCAATAAAAACATCCAAAATGTTATTATCTTTAGTCTATAATTGACTAAAAGTTACACAGTGGGACTTTAAGTTTGATCTAGTCAGGAATGTGTGAATGTTTTGGATATTAATACCGTATTTTTCGGACTACTATATAAGTAGCACTTTTTTTCATGGTTTGGGTGTTTCTTGCGACTTATATTAAAATGTTCACACTGACAGCCACATACTCTTGTGTATCAGTATCTGCTGCTCCTATTACTCCTGTAGCACTGTCACTTCACTCTACTGTGCATGTCTCCTGCAGAAAGAGCCTCTGTCCTGCTGCAATTAGTGAAATCTGCAACTCAAAATGATAATCGAGAAGCCGAAACAAAGTTTAGAGTGAGCGAGAAACTTGTGAGGGACTGGCAGAAAGCAGGGATGGAGAATACAGCTTCACGGTAACCAGCAGGGTGCACCATGCAACTTTCCTAGAAGTCACTGGATGGATGGACAAAGCCTGGACTTCAGTGACACCGAAATCATCCTGTCGGTATTCAGAAAGGCCGGAATAATTCTAACTTGAACTGATGCTGAGTCTGACGACAGCTACACAGAAGAGGAAGCGGTGCTCTGTTTACCTGCGGAGGTCACCAAGTTGTGCATAAGTGACACCAAGGATGAAGAATTCAATGGATTTAGTGATTTGGAGTGAGATGGAGAGTTTGGTAAAGTTGTTATGCTATGTTGGTTTATGCTCTGAATAACTGTTAATACGTTACATTAACATACCAGACGCCTATTCAGCCTGTTGTTCTCTGTTCTATTGTTATTACTATAACTTGCCTATCAAGATGAAATGTCAGTTCCTGATCTCTGATTTTATAAAATAAATTTCCCCCAAAAAGTGCAACTAATATGTGTATGTTTTTTTCTTCTTCATTATACATTTTTTTGGCTGGTGTGAGTTACTCCAGTGCGACTTTTAGTCTGAAAAGTATGGTACATCTCTGAGTATTAGAAAACATTTAAATTAGAGAGATTTATACAGGTTTCATTTCCACCATAGTCACAGTGGCTTTTTGAGGGGGAATTCTAATGATTTCTGAGACTAGTCCCCAGCTCAACACTTATGGCCACACTTGTGTCCAGATGTGACAAAGAGCATGTTTGGATTGGTAAATGAGTTTTGTATACTTGGCCAGATCCCAGGTGCGTTCCCCAGCCTCTGTACAGTACGCCTCAGCTCCTGGAGGCCTGACACGCTCCGGTTCCCACTGATGGACAGGAGGCTCTGAGCATCCACAAACACACGGGACAATCTGCACACACAACACACATGTACTTATACTCTACTTGTGCTCTACTCATATACTGCGACCTTTGTCGCACACAAGACAGCATAGAAGAGACACTGTAAACTGTACAAGAGACAAAAGAAAAATTCTATTCTGTCAACTGGACAGACTGTTCAGAGTGAAGACATTTTGATCCATCCAGTGTTTTTCTTTTCCTTTTTCTCCCCTTACTTTCCAAAAAACAATATTGTTAAATGGAGATATAAGCCCACCATCCAGAAAGTTCAAAAGTTCAAATCCTCGTTCAACGCAAACTGTTGTGCCCATAAGCAAGGCACTTTACTGACTTTGTGCACTCCTGTCATATATTTGCTACAGTAGGTATATCTAACCAAGCTTCTGATTTGCTATGGAAAACTCTGATCAATAAAATAAATTGTACTAATGCAAGAATCAAAACAATTCAGAGATTAACAGAATCTGACTAAATAAAATATCCACTACAGATATATAAGTATAAACACCTCTTGAGGTCAAAATAAGTCCAATTAGAAAGCATTTTACTGTAGCAAAAGTCCACCCTGGTCTCTGAGAGTTGTTAAAAGTACTTATGAAATTATCATGGCGAATAAATTAGATGCTCTGAATGTATAAGGTAAGTGAGGAAGAACTTTAGACCACTGCAAATGGTTTAAAATGAACTAAGACAGTAAAAATCAGACACCATGCTGTAAAAAAACAGCAGAGCTTTGTGTAAATGGGTATATATATCATGACATACATTGAATTGTTGAAGTTATTCACTTGTCCGGGTGTTTCTCCGGCCGTGGGGCTGTGGAAACACGGGTTGTTGATGTTGCAGATAATGCCTTGGATCCAGGGCAGAGTTCCTGCTGAAGGTAAAGCTTTGTTTGGGAAATGACCTACAAAAACACATAACAATGAGAACAAAAATCAGCCAACAAGATTTCAAAGATTTAACGGTTTATAAAACAATGTGAGCAATGAGCCTGTGAGCTGAAATCCAAACTTAGTACTTCTGAAAAAAGGAAGAATGAAACTTTTTGCTATTTGCACTGATTTCGATTTTCAAGGTATTATTTAGACTTAAAATGCATATAGCTGATTATTCAAAGTGTGATCAGGACCAGTAGTTGTTGTTTCACGTATGACTACAACTTTTGACTGGTCACAATGTAGTAATGTGTTCTAGTGCAGTTTTATACACAGAAAATACAGTTGGCCAATATGGACCCTATCAGTTCTGCAGTTTTGAACAGGAAGTGTTATTAACCTGTTATGGATCAATATTGCGGAACAAAATGTAATATCTATGTAAGTTATGTTATATACTACATACCGTACATTCTACACGCATAAAATGAATGCTTCCGACTTTAGTGCTATTTACGGCCCATATGCTATTTTCTGATCTATGTTCTAATGTTGTTTTCTCCTCAAAATCAGACCTGGACTTGTGTTTTGTTTCATTCACACATGTTTGAGTAGTCCTTTATTATTAGTCTGTCTAAATTGCTAAAAACTCAAAATGCTCTGTTCTACCCTCTGATGTGATACAAGAAGGGCTCCACTGTGTTGTTAAACTCTACACATTCACTAGAATCATTTGGATGATTTCAGACCTGGAATTGGCAATCTCTACTGAACGAAAGGTAAAAGGAGCTGTTGAAAACTACAGCTTCATGACATCACGAGGTGGAACAAAACAATTTGAGCTTTGACAGACAAATAATAAAGGACTACTCAAACATGTGTGAATGAAACAGAACATAACTCCAGGTCTGTTTTTGAGGAGATAACATTATACCATAGCTTAAAGCTCATGGGAGTCAATTTTGCATAATATAGGACCTTTAACAAAAACATATAATTTATTCCAAGGCTTAGTAAAGACAAATCACTTGATAGGATTTTTTTTGTAAGTTCAAATAATGTGTATATGAATGTTTGTGCTGTGTCTGCTGTTTAAGTATAGTCCACATGAAGTCTTCCTGGACACATAAAAGGTGGACAGTGTGTGCTCTTAAACTGGACTAATCCTCTGGAGCAGCTGACCTCTTGTTCACCTGTGTCACTCCTCCCTGGCTCGGTTTGTACACAGGGAAGTCACACTCACTATTTTAGGGACATAACTGAAAACATGATTTGAAGAATAGAGCTATTAATGTAGTTTCCTCCATATTCTGTAGGACAAAACAAGCACACATATCATTCAAAAGTAAGTTTAAAACTACTATATTTACACTAAATTGACTTGTGAGCTTTAAGCTACACTACCGGTCAAAAGTTTTAGAACTCCACACTTTTTCCATTTTTTTTACTGTTTACTGTTGACCAAAACATATTCTAAACTTTTGATTGATGTGTGTGTCCACCTTTGGCAGATATAACAGCTGAACACACTCGTCGCTCGTTCTTTTTACAATAGAAATCAAATATTGTTCAGAAAGTTCTTCCCAAGTCTGTTGCAGAAGTTCCATAAATGTGTGGCACTTGTAGGTTGATTCACTCTTCTGTCCAGTTCTTCCCAAACCAACATGACAGGGTTTAAATCTGGACACTGTGCTGCTGGACACTCCAGGTTTTCAAGCTTTACCATCTTGTTCTTTTTTCTGAGGTAGTTTTGGCAGAGCTTGGACTTGTGTTTTGTATCTTTTATCTTTTTTTAATCTCTGTCTGTTCAGTACTTATCTTTGTACTACTTCAAGCTCTTCATTGGACTTGCACGACTTGAATTGCAATAAATAACTGGAAAAATTAGGGTGTTTTAAAACTTTTGACCGGTAGTGTATGTATAATGTTGTTACCTTCACAAGAACATACGTGGAGTTGTGTTTTGTTCCATTCACACACGTTTGAGTAATCCTGTATTATCAATCTGCCTCTAAAGCTCAAAATGCTCTTTTCCACATTGTGGTAGTTTTCAAGCGAGCAGCTCCTTTTACTTTTTTTAGTAGAGAGAGGCAATTCCAAGGCTAAAATCATCCAAACGATTCTAGTGAAGGTGTATGGTGTTTAAAAATATTGGAGCACTTCCTGTATTACCATGTGACATCATAAGGTGGAACAGAGTGTTTTATGTTTGAAAGAAGAACTTTATGTGTTAAACATGTGTGAATGAAACAAAACACAACTCCAGGTCTGTTTGTGATGAATAAACTACATTATTACATAGATAAAATAGCAAAGGGGCCCTTTCTTATATTTTAGCATTAAAGCTGCAAGACACAATATTCTACAATCATGCCCTGTATTAAAATAACTCTCTTAGTGCAACATTTTTACAAGTAATTAAAAAACTACATGCCTTTATTTACTGTTTACTATTGTCAAACTGGTCCTACATCCCATATCTAATGTAGGACACAATGCAGAAAATCATGAAAAAATGAAAAAAAAAAAAAAAAAAAAAACTACATTTCTGTCCGATTGAGAACTTTGTGTTGTTGTAATATATTTATTTTCTTGTGATGTTAATTATTGCATCAGCCAATCTTGCAGTGTTGTTGCAATATTCTGCGCAGCTCGATTTCTTTTGTTTTCACTTTTTCAGTGAAAGCGTATGTGTAATGGATGTGAGCACTATTTGTAATCATAATGAATACTTGATGGAGGCACAGGTCTAAGTAGCACTTACACTGGCCCTGCTTGTACGGAGGGTGGGAGTGGCGTACTGAAATGAGGATGACGAAGAGGAAGAGGGGCCAGAGCAGCTCAATGATCAGCTGGATCTGAACACAACACATAACAGAATATGAAGTCAATATATGAAGAGGCTGAGGTGCCCTGTCCAAAAAACAACTACTGACTGAAGGTGCACAGAAGTCTTCAAGCATGTGTGTCTTCCCCAATGACAGGAATAGTTCAGTAAAGTCAAATTCATGTATTTGGCTCACCTTTGCTACGATAACACATGGAACTACATTAGACAGGGTCAAAAGTCATATGCCTCTGCATCTTTAAATCATTGACTGTATGTTATGGACATCTTTTTATCACTCTGCACATTCACTGTAATGATTATAAAATAGGCAAGAATCATGAGTGGCTCCTCACCAGGGTATATTCCTAAAAAGAGCAGAGGGGCATTACAGACTGCCCTCCTGGGAGGAGGAGTATAGCCTTGTTACTGCCCAGCCTTTCCCCACACAGGCACACAGTCCAGGCTGTCAATCAAAGCCCCACCTTATTACAAGCCTGTTTCACATGTGTCATTATCAGAGGGGCACACAGCTGTAACTCAGTGTTTGAGGCCAGAGAAGCTCAGGACCTAAAGTGGCACAATGAAAAGTCTCCAGAGGATTTTACTATGTATTTCCACTCTGCAGTCAGCCATAGCAGCCAGCAGTCAGATTACAGCAATGGCAGCCTACCATCATGAGGAAGATTTCAAGTGTCTACACTCACTGCTTCAAACCCTTGGTCCCACTCTCATGATCTTACCTGGGCTTTCACGCCTACTAAAGCTCAGTGCTCTACAAAGGCGGGAGGGGCATATACTAAACGCAGTCAGAATGACTCCGACTATAGCAGTTGGGGCAAGTAGTGATGCGGTGTCTGAAAAAAAAAACTTGGATATAGAGTTTAATCAGGACTCTTTGTAATCTACATTGTATTTACTCAAGCAGTTTGAGTGTTTAACTCAGAGTCCATTATATCCACACTGTTGTTCTCCTGTGGGTTGTTTCTTGCTTAGAATTATATTAGTAAGGTTTTAGCCCATATTAAAGAATCATAGACCAGATTTAGATTGGGCGATAAAGCCAAGACTTTACTTAGGAAGAATTTTGATTTGATTGACTGATTGATTTTTTTATCTGATTCTAGAATATGAAATATGGTCATATACAATAAGACTATTGCAATAAGGTTACAAGTAAAGAGAAATATATAAGCCATAATGAACCAAGTCTAAAATAACAAAAAAAAGAACACAAAAGACACTCATGCACCAGCAGCAGTACCAGCAGCACAGTTTGAGAAGCACTGCTCTGCCCACAGAGGAAGAACATTAGAGGTGTGCTCATACCTTGTTCCTGCGTCTGTAGGTGATGTTCTTCCACAGTAACAGGAGGAGCTGCTGAAAGGCGTCCATCTCTGTGAGGGTCACCTGTTCATGTCCTCACACTGGAGACAAACAACACTGTGTCTATGAAGTATTGACTGCATTGACTATTATATCAAGGAGTACTTAGTTGTTCGCTTGTCATGGAAAATGTATACTGCAAAAGTGCTGTGGATTTCAAAGGACTGTTGCCTCTATTAAAGGTACAGTACAGGTACATCTCAAAAAGTTACAATATCATGAAAAAATTGCATTGCACTTCAGAACCGTATTTTATATAACCTCTTGACACATAGAGTGAAGCTTTCAGCCTTCACGTGACAATAAAATACTGAACTTTTTCATGATATTCTAATTTTTTAAGATATACTTGTATGTAACTTTTTGTCACATGCTTGCCTCCTTGGAGATGTTCTTGCTGTACCCAGTGTGGAAGAAGTACAGTTTTGTTATATTTACTCAAGTAAAAGTATTGCAAGTGGCAGTAGCTCAGTTGGTCGGTTGGTCAGTTTGTCCACTGATCTGAAGGTTGGCAAGTCAAATCCCACTCTCAACATAAACATCATTGGTTGAGTGGTCAAACCCACTGACCCACAGGTTGGTGCTGCGATTCCAGCTCCCACAGAAGAATGCTGGTGTTGTGTCCTTGGGCAACCCACCTCACCCCTAGTGTCTGTGTACACTGGTGTATGAGTGTGTGTGAATAGGTGAGTTGTTCCTCAGTGTAAAGCATTTTGAGCCAAGGTGGAAAAGTGGTGTACAAAAATGTGACCAAAATCTAGTTTTAGAGCTTTCTAACATGTAACTTTCCCTCATCAAAAACATGCCTGAAGATGTGATCAATGCATGTGTAAGTAATTTAGTGATCTCTCCTGGGCCATATTCAAACCCTCCTTAAATACATTATGATCTGTGTTTAGGGCACAGATAGGATATGTTTATTGAATTTTAAATATAAATCTTACATAAAGGTCCTTAAATCCATCCCCTGTATTCCAACCTTTATTTGGTTAAAATGTATTTGAAAAATCTCAATGAACAGAATCAATAAACTCCTTCCATTAGAATATCTTTCCCATTTCCTCCAGTATTCACTTATCGCTCCGCCTCTCCCTCTTGTATTGTGTTGTGTGGCTATTGAATGGTACCTACCTGTGCTTTGTGACCTGTTACAGACAATCCTCTTCTTGATCCTGAAATCCTCCTGATCCAAAGCTTACCTCCGTTTCTTCCTTCACTCCTGCTCCTTCAGGCACATGATCAGCCTGGAAGACATTTTAAAATTCTGTTATGTTCATTTGACCCAAAATGTTTAGTCATTGACTTCTGGAACTGGCTAATTGTTAACTTCCTGGTTAATATGGTTGGCAAAAATCACCAAAAACGATTACATTTTTGAAATATAAAAATAGAATGAAATATATACAAATTAAAGTAGTAGTACGCTTAATTCTGTATCGCTGAATGTTGTGCCCATACTATTTTATTTATTTTTCAAAGTTATTTATTCATTTATTTATCTGTGTATTAATGAATTTATTTCTTTTGTAATTCGCAGTACAATAAATGAATATATTTATAGCTTATACATAAGACAAATTAAGCATCAGTTAGCTGTTAACTCGTTTCTTGTATTACACAACCTTACTACCGGTATCACCAAGCTATTACACTGGAGATAGCTCCGGCGCTATTAAAACCACTTTAAAATCAAATAAATCAAGATAATGAGCCGTGATAGCTAGTGTTATGTCTGTGCATGATTACCTGGGTGGTTTAAGCAGATACCGCCTGCTTATCTCCGCAGAAGTGCAGTTTATTGCGGGTTTGTTGCGGGGCAGGACGCGGTCATCTGTCCGCTCCATTCCTCTGCGCCCTAAAGCAGGTTAGCTAACACGGCCCGCCCCCTCCGCTTCGGGATTGGCCAACGCGCTTCTGGGAGGCGGTACGAGTGAGCCGGTAAGCGAGCTGATTGGCTGTCGACTGTGTTTTGGTAAATGCTTGATGCGGATTGGTTCATTGTCAGCTGTGAGTTCGCGACCGTACACGACCCCATGTATCCCCAATAAAAGTAATAAAAGTAAGTAAATAAAAGTAAGTTCGAAAAAATACGAGGGCAAGAAGTTACTCAAGTAAAAGTATTACATGAAAAAAATCTACTTAAGCAAATGTACCTGTTGTATGTCATAGGGATGTAACAGGAACTGAAATATTGTGATATCGTATTGTCAAAAAGTCTCACAGTACCAACATGAAACTACATATCCACTGATTCATTTCAGTGCAGACAACATGAAGATATATGTTTTACTTCAATTCTTGGGATGATGATGGAAATAATTCACATCAAAATCTTCTCAAGGTATTTTAAAAGCAAAAAAGTGTCCCATCTACAGTTATATTGGCCTCTTCAAAATACTGCAATAAATATCGTACCGTGAGATTTGGATATCGTTACAGCCTGTCGTTAGTAAGTAAAATTATTTTGCTGAGATTTTTAAATGCAGTAAAATATAGTGATTTTGAAAAAGATTTTTAGCTGATTTTTTTTTTTTTTTTTTTTTTTTTTTTTGCGTTTTTGTGTAGCTTAAAGTTGGGAGGGATACTCAAATGTGTGCTAAAAAAAAAGTACTTTTTAATTTTCAGTCCAGCCCAGATATAAAATGTAGTGGAATAGAAAGTACAGATACCTAACATTTGTACTTAATATTGTACTTTTACTTTTGTACTTTGTTACTTCCTACCACTGCCAATATCCATTTCTGTGTTGGATTTTTTTTTACAGTGCACTGATCCACCAAACTCCACGTAGGCAGATAAAGGTCTACATCTTCTGTCCAAATGTTCTCTGGGTGAGGTGCCATCCTGGAGGAGCTGGACAGCTTGTACTATTTCTACAGGGTCCAAGTGTTACCTCAGGCCAGTCCAAGATGGATATTATTATATTCTTTTACTTGACCAGATGTGTATTTCACAAGTCACTGTCATGTGCTATACTTTGATTATGTTTGTTAAGTTTTTTGAGCAGTATAATAAGAAGTATGAAAGGGGCAATGCAATTTAAGTTCAAGTTTATTAGTGAAACAATTGCAAAAAGCAAGACTCCCTTTACATGCACATCAAAATAAACAAATAAATAAAAATATTATGATCTGATGTTATCAGATTACTGAAATATCATGTAAACAACTATCTGATATGAGTAATCTGATTTTTCTGTGATTGTTCACACCTATGCAGGTTTTAATGAAGACAGTTATGCAAAAAATGGTAAATTAATTTGCTTGTCAAATCTAGAAAGGTATCTCTGTATTGTTGAAGTGTGTATTTTGGATCCCCAGCAGCAAACTAATGTCACAAACTCAAATATGACAAAGTAAATATTAAGGATGGAAAGAGTTATTTTAAAACTCATTATACTTCATCTTCCAAATACAAAACCACTGATTCATAACGTCTCCAGGAGTTTTTAATGATCAGATTTCTCTTGTGCTGTAAACACACATCACAAATCACAACTAATTATTGGGTTATCTGAATATTCCAGATATAATACTGTACATATATATATATATTTTTTTTTTAAACTGGCCATGTAAACGTACCCAGTGAGGTCAATGATATGTAATGGTTTGTACAATCCAGTGAAAATCAGACACAATAAATAACACTGATATCATAATATTATTTTTAATAAAGACTGAAAAGAGCAAATTCTTAAAAATATAGGCATCTTTCTCTTACAAATAAGGCAGTTACTTTTGCATATGTTAAGCTTGGGTGAGGAGAGGCACAGTATCTCTGAAAACACACAGCCAAAAACAGACTAGTGATACTTTGCAGCTGATGTCATCATCATTCTGCCGAGTAAAGCCAACTAGAGGCACTGAAACACCATGGATGCTTGTATTACGTTGTTTAAATCCAAATCTTAAAACTTACTTGGCAATGTTTGCAAATGTGTACACTGTGTCACCATGGTAACTGCTGAACATTCTGCCATAAATATACATGAAATACCCCTCAGTGCAATATCACGGCAAAGTATCAATAGACTCAGTTGTTTCCTGTACAGATACTGAAGCATAGCATCCCAAGACTAAAATGTAATAAAAATACAGCTTTGTCATTGTCTAGTAACACAATGTTAGCGCTGTCATATTGCTCTTGTGGACACAGTCATTTCACCTTAAACTATTGTTGCATTATTAAACATAAATACTAAAAAGGAACTTGCATGTCCCCATTTTTAAAAAAAATCTTTACATCATATAATGACAGTGAATGAGCCGAGCGTGTAGTCCATGATAGATTGCATATGTGCTTTGTTTTGGTACGTCCACAGCAGGTCACAGGTCACAGGTCACAGGTAGACGGGCTGCTCCTGTCCTGTGAGGAGGCGGTACGTGGAGGCGGGCATGGTCTTCAGGTGGATCTGAGGGAAAGCACAAGCAGCACTTCAGTGATTGTGTAGAGCATTGTTTCCCAAAGACTGGGTCGCAACCCTCAGGTTGGTTGCAAGAGATATTTTTTTGGGTCGCCCTGTTACAATCTGCATGTAGATCTGTAATATACAGTTCTGACACATGAGGGAGCTAGTGAGTCAGTAACGCCTCAGTGGGGTCAGTATTTCTCTGCTTATTCCTTTCACTACTACATATATGAACTGGGATTTTCTGTGCTCACAAAAATGAAACCAAAACACAGAAACAGAAATGCTACTCCTGATCTGCTGCTGTGTCTCCTCCTGCACCCGGACTGAACACACTACAATAACACACACAGGCCAACCTATCTAAATGTTGAAATGTTAAGACATGTTTTGCATCATTTCTAATCTTTTTTTTTAAATTATTATTTTATTGACTATATTGTTCCAGTATTGCTGGTTCAATTGAATGTTAAAAAGAAAAAGAAATGGGCAACTTTTAATGTCCAAACAGGCGACTTACGGATCCTGCTGCTTCAATGACTGTTTTTCATTATTTAAAACTTGAGTAATATTAATAGTTCAGAGACACGATCACTCAGTCAACAATAAATTATCCTTATTAATGTTCAATAATGCTCAAATCCACCTTTATTTTGTGATTTATGAATAATGTCTATTGACTTGGGTCGTGAAGGTTTGTGACTGTTTAAATATGGGTCCCCAGAAAAAAAGTTTGAGAAACACTGATGTAGAGGATGTCAGCAGACCAGAGTCACCTGCATGACTTCAAATTTAAAACAATTCTACACGGAGATAAATCGGTTTTATGTCTTCTGTGCAACATTATAGCCAAAGGAACATCATTTCCATGAAAACAAGCAGGAGGAGCCCTCCTACAGGCCAACTAAGGGTCAGGTTTATAGAGCTGCATGCAAAACATCTAAAATGAAAAAAAAAAACTGGGCTAAAAAGTTGTGTTAATTATAACCATGCCGATGAACCATCTGCAAATATTTCCTAAATAGTTGAATAGTTACAAAATAAAGAATTTACCATCCAATTAAAATGAGCTAGATCCATTGTATCATTAGAGTGGATCCTCACTTCCCTGAATCTTGCTGTCCCATAGACCCTGTCCCACAGATCATAAACCCTCTGTCCTGCAACTCTGTCCCACAAACCCCATCCTGTACACTCTGTACCTCTCCCACAGCGTTGGTGAGGGTCTGGATGATCTTTTCGTGGCTAGTGGCCACCACACTCTGGCCATTAATCTCGATGATGCGGTGACCCACGCGGATGCCCCCCCTCTCTGCAATGCCCCCGCGCATCAGACTGCAGATCTGTGAGGGCAGACACTCGTAACATATGTACAGATAGTCAATTTCTGCTCAACAAAGCAAAGCATAAGCATGTGAGTTCTTTTCAGCTTGAGTTAAATCCACCAGTGAGGGACAATATACAACTCCTCATGACTAAGGAATAAAGTATAATGGAAAGCAACAAAATACAAAAGTATAAGTACAGTATATAATACATTTTGTAGTGTGCACTTTTAATTTTACTTTACTACATTTGGGATTGGACAAGATCTTGTGCTACAAGATCTCACGAGATAAAATATTTTTACTTTAGTAAATCTTCTTTACTTATTGGTGATCTGCTTTAAAAAGCAGATTTACAATGACAGCACATATATTAAATAAATGAAAAATGTAGATGCCAAAATTGTGAACTGCATAACTCAAATCATGTTTTATAAGTATATGTTTTATAATCTGAATTTTTGGTTATCCAGCTCAGAACAAATAAATACAATTTCAAGTGTAAAGAATGGACCGTACGATGCCATCCTCGACGCTGAAGCCCAGCTGGTACTTGGGGTCTGGTCTCCTGATGATGGCCATGGTCACCGGGGGGCAGTGCACTATGCTCAGCTTCACGTACTTCTGACTTTTCAAATCCTGAAAACAACACAGTTTTATCATGACTCCATATGACCACAAGTGTGTCAATGCACAACCTGCTTTAGAATGCTCTTATCAGGCCACTGTATTTCATTATGAAACAAAAGCATGAGAACTTGTGTGTCTGAAATGAGAGGGTGGTTCACAAAACCAGGCTGTTTACACGATAAAATGAAAATGTGACCCATGTGCTGTACTATTCAAAGCAGCCTCTGCTCCTGTGTTTCTTATGCAAAGTGAGAGGGGCAGAGACACTTCATGCAGTGGCTCTACTATACATTATACATTCCACAGAGTATGGCATTAAACTCCAGGGAGACTAGTTGGTGGCATCACCATGGCACCAGTCAGATCTATGGAGTAACAACCCAGGTCACAGTAAGAACTCTAAGCACTAAAATAAAAGCACATTTAACTTAACAAATGAAGAGATAAGACATGATATGAAACATTCCAGGCAATGCAATAATATGTAGACAAGAAGGTAGAAAACCCCCTTCCAAAAAATGACACAGTGGACCTTTAAGGAACTGTTTATAACCTGCAATGTTACAGTTTTAAAAAAGCTACTACTATGAACCTGTGTCACCAGAGCCTCCAACTGCAGATAGACACATATCCAAGTGTGTGAATGTGAAGCTCAGAACCTCCAGAATTCCCTCCCTGAGCTGCAGAGGCTACACTAGCCCTGACTCATGACTGGTGCAGGTGCTGGGGTTTAGGCAGAGACCGTTCAGATAAGAAAGTCTGGATTTCAGCATTGAAACTGTCAGCCCAACTGAGAGATCCATTCTGATCGTGTTAACCAAAACACCTAATTACAACACAACTTGTCCATCATTTCCAATGTTTTTGTACCAAGAATAAATCAGCATTACAATTGTTCTGAATAAAACCTTTGATTTAATTTTGGATAGGATGGACAGGTCATGTTACATACAGTTTGTTAAAGGCGATATAAAAGTTCAATCAAACATTTAAAAAATCTAAATTATGCTCAATCTAAAAAAAAAAAAAAAAAAAAAAAAACAGAATAAAAAAATGTCCTGCTCTTCCCCCTCAAGTCACTCGTTCACAAGCGGTTGGTCCTTGTCCATATCTACTGTAACAACAAGACTAAACCTTTGTCTGTATTCCAAAAATTCATCAGGCTTCTCAAATGGATTAATAACTTATCATCAAGAGGTAGATAATTTTTTTCCACAACATCACTCATTCAGAAGAGAGTGTAAGCCCCTCTCCCCTCATGCCTCTCATTCACAACAGTGTGTAAGCCCCTCCCACCTCATGTCACTCATTCCTAAAAGTGTGTAAGCCCCCCTCCCTCCCCAGAGTACACACCCTGATGATGTTCTGGCAGGTGGAGATGGGCAGTCCCACCAGGCTGGTTCCATTCACGCTCATGATCCTGTCTCCGATGCTGAGTTCCCCGCAGCGCTCGGCCGGTCCCCCGTGGAGCATGTTGGCCACCACTACAGTGGGCAGGATAGACCCCCAGCCCGACTCCACCACAGCCAGACCCAGCATCTCCCCCGGGGGCTTGGTGATGACCACCTACAGCACACAGGAGCACACATATGCACAAGGCCAATGTTACAGAGGTTTGTTTAAAGGGACAGTACTTTCTGGAGGTGGCACATCAGAAATAGAAAGTTAAAACCATTCTTTTGAACATTCTCCATGGAGACCGATGCATTTTAAGCCATACTGGGGAGTATTATAGCCAAAGGAACATCATCTCCATGGGAACAAATAGGATGAGGCTAAATAAGAGTCCAGGCCAGAGTCATCTTTGTGGAAATGCAAGCCCACTCACAGTAAGGATACATGTTTTTCCAAGTTTTTCAAAGCAAAACATGATTTAATTTTAGTGTTTATTTTTATTTTTATTTTACACACTATAGCTTTAAGTCAAAATTAGATTTTATGGATTAACAAAGTCATGATCAGAAGAGGGACAGGGTTCTGAGCTTTCACCTGAAGCATGCCCTGTCCATATACTGAGAATGAGAAACTTAGAAGTGTCTCTGTCTGCAGGTTTAAAAACTTTTAAAACTTTAAGAGTGTAGGCTACATACATCTCCTGTATTCCGATGTCAACACTCGTTCATATCTTCTGAAAACGTGGACAATGCAGGTCAGTGTTACGATACTAACATTTAACTTTCAACTCAATTTTGATACTAAGGAATAGACTTGATACTCAATACTGATTCTGATACCACAATAATAATAAAAACACACTTTCTTTAGACAGTAGAATGAGATTTTCAACAATCAATAGTAGTACTTTCTTTTCTTTTTCCATGTGTCTTATATGTGTGTAATCCTCAGTGCTGCAGGTAGGTTTACTATGTGATGTTCAGGAAACATTCATTTCTGTCCTGTGAATGGGACTTTTTAGTATTGTTACCTGTGAAAAATGTGTTTCTAGTGTCAGTACTAGTTTTAGTATCAAGTAGTATTTGATTTTCAATACTTCTGACATGTGTGTGTCTGTATCACTGTACTTCTTTAAGGTTCTGTTCGTCGCAGAAGTGGGCCAGGTCTCCGTTGTACAGCTCTTGACTTTCCAGGTAGTGGCTGTACTCTCCGGGCTTCAGGTCACTGGCTCGAATCCCGTTCACCTGCAGGAACTGCTGATAGGCCACTCCAAAGGCCTGCCCTATGGCCTGAGCGATCACCTGTGCCTACACACACACACACACACACACCACACACACACCGTAGGTTTCAGTGCCTTTTTTAGGGACTTAAATTAATTTCCTGGAGACTGATTCTAACCTTAAAAGAGGGGGTATTTTACTTTTATGGGGTATTAACTCAGCCCATACAGACCCACACACAGGACCTAGTGACAAAGTGTTTGAAGTTTCATAGAGCTTTCACAGTTCAATCTTTGTTTTTAGTGAGACACAGCTCAGGTCCTCTTATGCCATGGCTAATTTCCTTCTAAAGTAGACTCCCTTTTTTCTTTTCTTTCTTTCTCTTTCATCTTCTATTCTCTTACCACTCTCTCCTTTTCCCTCTGTCCTCTCTCCTCTCCTCTTCTATTCTCTCACTCCTCTGCACTTCACCTCTCTCTCTTTCCCCTTCTTGCATCTTCCCTCCACTTCTCTTCTTTTATCTCTCTCTTTTTCCCTTTCTTTCCTCTACCCATCATGTCTTCCTCTTTTCCCTCTAATCCAGTCAGACCCGTGAAGTTCTGGGACGACTGCCACTGCACTTTAATATTCACGAGAGCCACCAGTGCCACACTCGTGTAGCACCGAAAACATGCACTTTACATTACTTAGACTCAAAAATACTACTGCTTTTGGACACACAAGTCTTGTTTTTTCACATTGTATAACTTAAAATAACATAATGTTACAATGTTACCAAAAAGGACAGCACGCATGAAACAAAACATGACTCAAGATGTGTTTGGTCAGGCTTAAAGCTGCACTATGTCACTTTTTCCAGTAGAGAGTCTACTCTCTCCTTATTGAGATGTTATTGCTTAGTGTGAAATGTCCTGCAGTAGGGTACAGGGCCAAATCACAGGTCTAATTTGTGGAGAAGTGAGCCCAGCCCCTGATTTTAAAGGTATTTTCTTTGCAATAAATACACTTGTAATAAAAATGCATAATCATCTATGTATGACAGATATGTTTAAAGATCCTACATTACACAAAACTGAACAGAGGGTTTTCTATTTGAGAGAAGAACTCAGCCTAAATGTGCAAGGTTTGTGTTAAAAATATGTGAATGAAGCAATGCACAACTACAGGTCTGTTTGTGATGAGGCCACCTCATATAATCACTTCAGAGATGGACTAGCCGGGCCACGCCTCCCTGACATCGTGGAGAGCAAAATCAGACTCATATTTGTCCTCTAGCAGGTTTAGTGTGACTCTGCACTCACATCCTCTGAGGTGAAAACGTGACAGATCATCAGACACTTTTTCTGGCTCTCGGCCTCCGGTCCTTTGCGTTTCCTTCGGGCCATAAGCACCACGATGTGCCCGATGTCTGCAATGTATGAGATCATCTGCAGGGGGTGATCCATCATGGCCTCCTGTTTACAACAACAACAACAACAACAAATAAGATGGGAATCTCTGAAGGACTCGCTTTGCACTTAAGGTCTTGATCAGCATGTTTATGCAGAGTATTACCTGTGTGTCTGCAGTCAGCACTTTGATTCTTTTAGTGGAGATGAACAGGTCCACTTCAGTCATGGGCTGAGACTCTCCCTCTGGGGCCTGACACAAACGCAATATCATCACCATCACCATCCATAACAAAAGGAGAAAGAAATTCTATTCTGTCAACTGGACAAAAGACAGAAGTCTAGTTTTGTCTAGAAAGAATTGAATTTCTCCTTGTCAAATGTTTTGAGTTTAGAAGCATGGTGGAGGCGAACCTGCCATGTGGTAACTAATGTCCATAATGTGGTTGTGTTCAGTCAAAAAACTTAAATCCACATTTTGCATGTTTTTAGCCAAGAAATTAAAAAAAATAATAATAAAGGCATGTTTTCCAGGAAATGCTGTTTTTTGACTATAATCTTCCACAGTATGGCATAAAACCTTCTCCACGGAGAAAGTTATATTTGAATAACTTAATGGTTTACAATTATAGTTCTTGTGGTCATTAGTTACCACAGAGCTGATTAAACCTGAGCAAACTTTCAAAGTTTTTGTTTTTTTTATGGTGGGCGGCCCCCGTTGGTGGGGGGCCCCAGTTAGTGGGCGGCCCCCATTAGTCCCCACAGTTCCTCACCTTGATGCGGTCCACGGCCTCCTGTGCCTGGCTCATGCGGGCGTTGGTGGAGGGGTTCCGGTCTGACTTGATCTGAGTGGAGCCCAGGTACTTGGCCCCAAATATGACCCCATCCAGCAGGTCCTCGGGGTCACATGGCCCAGGCACTAGGGTCAAAGGGCACAGCTACAGACTTGGTATGTTTTTAGGACTTTAGGCTTACATTGGCTCATGTTACTTACCATCTTTGTATGAGGGCTCAGCTTCCTGTAAGACAACGCCAAAGAGGAATTAGACTTAGACAAACCTCTGAAGGTTTACATTAATATTCTTAAAATGTATTTCCTGTTTTAATCCCGTCTACAGCAAGAAACTGTATGTAAGATTTAGATTTTTTTGTAATTCACGTTTTTATTTTATTTTGCAATTTTTAACATATAACAGCAGCACATTACTTTGGGCTGAAGGGATAATACATTTTAAGCAGTCGCCTATGTATATGCATGACATACATGTAGTGAAGTACATCTACTCAAGAGGAAAAATAAATAAATAATAATAAAATAAAACAGTCAAAGTGCATAGTCTCTGTGCAGGAAACAGAAGTGCCGAAGCTGCATCCTCTGGTCAGGCTGGCACAAGCATCACAGATAGATGCTCAGAATGGCCGAGGTGTGGGCCAGATGTTGCCTTGGAGAGTTGCATACAACTCTTAACTCTTAAACTACAGGATTAGCTGTACGGATTCTTAACATGACCACCTGGACATTACTGATATCTTGGTATTCATAATGTGTGATCACTCAAATTGGTGGTTTTCAGGGTCTAGAATGTGATGATGTCAAACTCTCACATGGGGGTAAGAGCCAGTTTTTCCTATTGATTCCGATATTTCATGGGAAAGTAAAGGTAAATTCCCAAATACAGAATCTGAACATTTGTATTATTGACTAGACCCAAGACACATCTATACTGCAACAAAAATCTGCAGCTGAGCAATATTCACTTCAGCTGTCTCCATCTGTATTAAATAATATTGACCAACAGAATGCTGTGAGGTCATCTGAAACCCACCCACAGAGAGCTTTGACAGGATTTCAGATGGGTCAGTCCTAGTATCACATACCATATCAGTCCCAGCAGAAGCCTGGAGGTCGGGCGGCTCCTCTCCCAGCTTCATCCACACCGGCTCAGGCTCCTCTTCGTCAGGCTGAGAGGAGAACGAGTCCTCCCTGAGTGTCCGGGCTGGAGCTTTGTCATAGTGTCCCCAGTACCTCCGAGTATCCTCCTCACTGTAGGACACAGACACCACGGCATCCATGTCCCCTGTGTGAGTGTGAGGACCAGGGCCAGGGATGTCTGTGCTCTGCAGCAGACCCACCTACAGCCATGAAAAGAATGGATATATGGATAAATTATTAGTGAAATTGCTGTTGGGAAATATACTAAATTAAAAGAGGAGGGCAAAAGAATGAGAAGAAAATTAGAAAGAATTGGAAAGACTATTACTTTGATAATGACAACTGCACTGAAATAGATTAGCTGTGTAATCAAGGCAATCTGAAGCATGGTCACAACAACACATGTTGGCAAAAGTGTGTGGTCTTTAAAAACGCAGGGGAGAGTTTTTGGATTCTCACCTGATGACATCATGCATATCTGATCTAAATAACAATGAATTGCGAATGAATTCTAACACTGCAAGGTCAGACGGTTTCTATGAAGTGAAACCAGCTGATGAATCAGGCTAAGATAGTAGCTCCTGTCTGCTAGAACAGGTCGTGTTCATTGTTTATAAAGGTTTACAGTTTCTGAATGAAATAAAAATCTACAAATGTTGAGCTTTCTCATTATTTTTTTGGGATTGACTCCACAAAATGGTCATAACAATTTTATGGTTTAAAGTCTTTTCAGTTGACAACAATCTCTGGGGTTGAATGATGGTTACTGTGAAAAGTTGTGAAAATTTCTAGTTTTTGAATTATTACGATTGCAATCTGACACTTAAACAGTTTCTTCTCAACTTTTTTCTCACAAACTACCACAAACTGATGTAAAATTATGATTCCTGTTGACCACAGGTACTATCCCACCAAACCAAGTCAGAACTAGAACAACATGGAAACCTGTCAAACCTTACCACGTCTCTCTGGTGATCTTCAGAAAACAGCAGACCAGTCCTTTCATCGGCGTCTGGAGAGGGGGGTCGAGGCTGGGACAGCGCAGCCCGTGGAGGAGTGCTCTGAGTGGGGTAAGCCTCCTCCTCCTCCTCCTCCTCCTCTCTCCTGATCTGGAGCTGGTTCAGGAGGCTATGGATGCGACTGTGGTCTTCATCCTCCATATCTCCACAGCTTCTCCTCTCTGTGTTGTCCTGCTTTAAACTGCTAACTTGATCATTGTCATTTATAGGTTCTTCCATGGTTTTGGTCTCTGTTGGTGTGTAAATACCTTCAAATTCAGACTGAAATGGTTTTACCGATTTGCCATTTTGTGTTTCAGCTAAATTTGTAGCACCAAAATCTGTTTCGTTTTCGTGATTCGAACGGCTCACATTGTAATTGGCTTCAGTTTGTGTTTTCACATCTGCACTTCCTTCCAACTCTAACTCTAGAATCTTATACACTTTTGTTTGGGGGATGTCTGGGTTAAAATCCTGCTTCAAACTCCCAAATTCATTGTCAAACGTGTCCCTTGAAACTTGAAATTCAGACTCCAGATTTACCACACTGGAAAACTGATCAGTTTGGTTGGATGTGAGCGGATTATCCCAAAAATCTATACAACCGTGCTCTTCCAAGTCTGTAGTGTGTTCTGAAATTTCACTAATACTTTTTAAATTTCTTGTTTTATCCTTGTCATCTTCTGTGTCCAATCCGCTAACAAGTTCCTGATCAGAATTATCCCCACAGATGCCGTCTAAGATCTGCTCTATATGAGTTTTTTGGATGGTTTCTCTCTCTTGCTGTCCTTCGTTGCTGGTCGAAGGAAGATCTGGGCTGTCCTTATCCAAGCTGTCTGTGAGATGGTTCAGACCGTCAGCTGAGCCCTCCTCACTGGAGGAGTCAGACCTCCAGTCCAGAGGGGGGGGCTCCAGGGGGTTGAAAGAGTCCAGCTCCTCCACGTCTGTGGGGGGGGGAGAGGAGAGAGGAGGGAGAGGGGAGCTGGAGGTAGCTGCAGGAGCAGGGTCAGGCGGTGGGGAGTCCATCTTTTAATCTGTGAGAGAAAAATAGACAGTGTTATTAAGTATTATTAGTTTAAAACTAGAGGGAGTCACAGTCGTGTTGTTCAGTAGGGCTCAGCTGTGATATAAAAAAGGCTATTAGTAGATCATTTTTAATTAGACAGACTGAGCGGCTCCCAGAGGAGGGACCAGGTTGTGGTTTTACAAGTCTCAAGTAAGTCACAAGTCTTTGACCCCAAGTCCAAGTCAAGTGTCAATGTCTCGAGTCTTAGTCTATTTTATCAAGTCAAGTCTCAAGTCTTAAAAATAGTGACTTAAGTCTGACTCAAGTCCAAGTCATGACTTCCAAGTCCCCACCTCTGATGACTCCTGTTGCATTCTCACATACCACCACTAGAGGCTTCATACATCATAAATCTAATCAGAAACTGTCACAGTTGTTTCAAACATCGCATTAAAGATCGAGTATGTAACTTTCTGGAGGTGCCATGTCCCTTGCAAATTCCATGGGGGAAGTTAAAGCCATACTTCAGAACATTCTCCATGGTGATAGACACATTTTCTTCTATACTGTGGAATATTATAGCCAAAGGAAGAGCATTTGAACACAGTCAGGTCTATGGAGATGCAAACCCACTTATGGTAAGAACACAAGTTTGTCAAAGTTGTTCAGTGCAGTAAACAACTAAAATGAAACACATATTTTTGGCTATAAGGTGACACACTGTGGCTTTAACTGGACTATTTTATGCAACAATAACTACAGTTTCTGCACACTCCTTATGAGTCTTAGGTCACGTTACGCCCTACACCCTGCTCCAGGCAGATAAACCAGGCCCAAAGTCCAACAAGACCCCTAGAAAAGGCTGCACTTCAGACACAAGTCCAAGTCCACACGGAGTCTAATCATCACTCTGAGGGTCACAGTGTCTGGAGAAGTTTCCAGCAGCTGGTACAGAGAACAGCCCATGTTTGGAGGAGACACAGAGACAGTGTGGACGCTAATGAAGACAGAGAAACAAAGCTGAAATAAAGACTAATTAGAATGAGGATAAACTAATGTGATTCATCATGAAAGTACTAAGTCTTGAGGACAAGTCTGATCTGAGAGGAGAGGCGTCATTATCATCACAGAGATTGCACCCAAACATGTACCTCCATCACTACGGCCAACACCTTTCACAGCTTTTCTAACAAACCTGTGCATTATTCAATCTAAATGGCCAAAAAGAAAAAAACATTTCAGCAATAATACACTCAAGGCATATAGAGAAGTGTGTTTATTTGATTGAAAATGTTTAAAAACTCTAAGTGTGAGACTTCCGGTGGCGCCATGATGTGAAGTAGTCGCAGTGGACGTGAGCTCCCGTGAACTTGGCATAAAATAGGCTATTTTTCAGACTAAACATAAACAAACCCCAATAGATAGTGAGGAAACGAAATGACAACAACAAGGAACAACACTGGAAAGCTATTCTCGCTACGAGAGGCAAAGGAACGGAAAGAAAGTCAACAAGCTAACACTGAAGCTAGCTTGAGCTACACGAGCACTGCTAAAGCCAACGAGATGAGTATGGCAGATATATTTCGTGAGCTTAGAGAACTGAGACAAGAAAACCAAGCTGCGTTCTCAGAGACCAAGGCCTCACTGACAAGGGTTGAAGAAAAAATAAAAGACGTCAAGGATCGTATGGACAAATTAGAACGACGCAGTGAAGAATCCGAGCACCGTATCAATGCTGCGGAGGAGACTAGCCAACGCAACGAGAGAGCGCTGAGCTACCTCCTGAGGAGAGAAGTCATTTTAGCAAATCAATGTGAGGATTTACAAAATCGCCTTCGCCGCAATAATATACGAGTCTACCAGGTGCCAGAGGGAAGCGAAAAGGGCGACATGATTGGCTTCATTAAACGTCTCATTGCAACAGCGCTTTCATATCCACCTGATAACATAAGCATTGAAAGAGCGCACCGAGCCCTCGCATCCAAGCCACCTGACACGAGTCCACCGCGCTCTATCATAGTCCGCTTTCTGGACTACACAGTCAAAGAAGAGATTCTACGCAGGGCATGGGCTCAAAAGCAAGTGACCTTCCAAGAGAGGACAATATATTTTGACCAAGATTACTCACCTGAGGTTCAGCGAAAGCGTGCCCGCCTGCGCGCGGTGTTATTAAACAGCTGAGAGACAAGGGAGTCCAGGCCAGATGCCGCTTCCCCGCGCAACTTCGGATCCATATGGAAAGCGGAGTGAAAGTCTTCCCGACTCTGGTGGAGGCGATACCAACACTTCATGAGATGGGAATCTCGGTTCAAGTCAGTGAGAGAGAAAAGATCGACCGGGAGTTTTCTAAGGAATCTTGGAACAGATGGGAGAACGCAAGAAGAGGAGGGAACGCGACACTTTCAGACGCGGACTTAAGATGCTTTATGTAAATAAGCTAAAGACGAAACATTACAATCAACGAGACAATAATTAATACTCACTGAGGTATGCAAACATTATTTCCTTTCTAGTTGTTGTTAATGGGGTAATTTAAAAGAACAAAATAGCCTTCATAATGACAGTTATTTGTTAACTATACAAACACGGGATGCCAACCGCCCGCTTTTTGGTTTCTGTTTTGTTACCTGTTACAGGAGTCTGATCTCACCGGGTAAGATACAAACTACTCCGGTTTGTGATTATGAGAGCACTTAGTGCCGCGCCCCCAGAGTGTTCAGGCCACGTCACTCTGCTCGATAAACAGCGGGGGTCAGTTCTTATTGACCGGGTTTTTGGGAGTCAGTTTTATGTTCAAGTTCTTTTATTGTTTTGTTCTAATTCCTTGACATGTTATCATCCACACTTTTTAGCGTATACACTTAGTCATTTGAAATCTTATATAAAGATGGGAGAGAGGTGGCTGGTGAATAATCCACCACTAAAGCTGATCCCCTATGTCGGAGATAACAATTTGTAGTTATAATGTTAAAGGGCTGGGCCACCCCATTAAAAGGAAAAAGATCATGAACCAGTTAAAGTCATTTAAGTGCTCCATAGCACTCTTACAGGAAACTCACCTGAGTGATCTGGAACATAAGAAATTGAAGAGGGATTGGGCTGACCAAATATTTTTTGCAAGTTGCCCACAGAGCAGGAAGAGAGGAGTAGCAATCTTGTTCAATAGAAATACCTCCTTTGCAACACAAAAAGAAATTAAAGATCCACAGGGAAGATACATAATGATAATTGGTTCTATAGATGGCATTCAGACAACAATTATAAATATTTATGCACCTAATGAGGACGAGTCCTCCTTTTTCACCAAAGTAGCCTCCGTAGTGGCAAAAGAGTCAAAAGGTATGATCCTCTGTGCAGGGGATTTTAACTGTGTGTTAGATCCTAAGAAAGACAGGCTCCCTCCAGATTACGGCATCCCAACTAAAAAAAACAAAGCTGCAAACTATCTATTGGAGGAGTTGGGGCTAGTGGATGTATGGAGAGTGTTTAACCCACAAGTTAAAGATTTTACTTTCTACTCTAACGTACATGGTTCTTACTCCAGAATTGACCTGATATGTTTAACTAAACAAGATATTTATAAAGTTACAGAAATAAAACTCGAACCTATAACTCTGTCAGATCACGGGCCTGTTAGGATGTCTTTAAGTCTACATCGTAAAAGACATTTTAAATACTGGAGACTAAATGTCTCGATCCTGAGTGATAAAGATATCCAAAAACAATTAAAAGACACACTAAAAGAATATTTTTTACTAAATGATAATGGAGAAGTATCCTTGTCTACCCTGTGGGATGGGGCAAAAGCCGTCTTGAGAGGTAAATGTATAGAGGTGACAGTTCAATTAAAAAAACAACGTCTGGCAAAACAAATTGAACTAGAAAGTGAAATTAAAAGGTTAGAACAGATCCATAAAATTACTAGAGATCCGACAATATTGACACAATTGAAAATTCAGAGAAATAACTTTGATAGACTAATGACGTATAAAGCAGAAGGAGCAATGCGTTTTACAAACCAAAAATATTACGAGATGGGTAATCGCGCAAGCCGTCTACTGGCTTTTCAATTAAGAAAAACACAAGCCAGTCGTGTAGTAACAAAAATAAAACATCCTTCAACAAGTGAGGATGTGACACACCCGGAAAAAAATTGCAGAAGCATTTCGAGATTTTTATGAAAAACTATATACCTCTGACACAACACCTAAAATAAACAATATGAATGATTTTTTCAAGGATTTGGCTCTACCCAAATTACTTCATGAAGAAGCAGAAGATCTTACCAAGCCTATAACAGAAAAAGAAATAGAAGAAAACATTAAATTATTGAAAAATAATAAAAGTCCGGGACCGGATGGTCTGAGCGGAGAATTTTATAAAGCATTTATAAAAGAACTTGTTCCAATATTGGGGAGAGTATATAATTATGCTTTGAAAAAGAATGACCCACCTATAAGCTGGTCTGAGGCCATCATATCAGTAATACATAAGGAAGGAAAAAACCCCAAAGAGTGTGCCTCATATAGACCGATTAGTCTCTTGGGGAATGATGTTAAGATATTGGGCTCAATTTTAACAAAAAGAATGCAGGCATATATAGGGAAACTTATTAAACCAGATCAAACCGGATTTATTGTGGGGCGTCAGGCATCAAACAATATTAGAAGAGCATTAAATATCCAAATTGCAGCTAAGAAAACCACCCACCCTTCAATGCTACTTGCTTTAGACGCGGAGAAAGCGTTTGACAGGGTGGACTGGGCATATTTAAATTATACAATGGAAAAATTCGGCTTTGACCAGACCTTTATCAGATGGATCAACACCATTAATAAGAATCCAAAGTCAAGAATTAGAGTCAATGGTTACTGCTCTGAATTTTTTGAAGTGAAGAGAGGAGTAAGACAGGGCAGCCCGACCGGGCCAATTCTGTTTGCCCTTAGCATAGAGCCGCTAGCAGAATGGGTAAGGACAACCAAGCAAATAGAAGGTATAATAGATAGAACAGGTGAAGAGCATAAAATA